GGTAGCATCAGGCAGGAGGTAGCAGCTCCCCAGGGAACAAAGAGGTTTCAGGTGGAATCAAGGCAGTGAGGTGAAGAAGGGGATACTGATGAACCATTGTACAGGAAAGCCCGCAATCCGGTGGCCTCATCCAGACCTTCTGCTGGTGGTTCCACCCATAAGGGCAAAGGCCTCAGCAGAGTAGGAGGATCTGGAAAGTTCTCAGTTATGTCACATGGTGGGTGTGGTGGAAAGTGGCTGTAGCAGCACTGAGAAGGTTAATATTTCTGTCAATGCAAATGCACAAAAGAAAGTGGACTAGTCACTTGTATTGAAAGTTAAATGTACGGTGCAGAGCAAAATCTGGATTTACAATGAAGTCACAGTGTGCTCCGCATATTAGACCTCAGATGATGGAAATTGTTCTGATGTAATATTCAGCTTCATTGATTGTAGATTTTTGTGCCAAAATGCTATGACCAGAATTAAAGAAAACAAGCCCATTTAATTATCCCTAGAGGTAATACTGTTCAATTTAGAAACAAAAAGTTGGGTCTTAGAGCTGCATTGTTTATATCTACTTAAATGCCTTATGAGGTCATGTTCCTAATTTAGTATTTTATGTTAAATAAGATGATAAAAAACCAACACTTTTTCAGCAGACCAAAGAAAGTACATTTTTATTGAATTGTAACACATTGTGTGGCTTTATAGAGTTTTGCTGCTAACTACTACTTTAGATTGTCTGTCATTAAGCAGAAATATCTGCATTACATGCACTGTGGCTTGGCATTAAAAAAAAAAAGGAACCCATAAAATATTCATATTCTTCTATCATGGCAAAGTTCAATAGATGGACTGATCTTTGCTACTTTCTGGTTCATGACAGAATATTTTTTTTTCTCTCCGAAATCCAATTTAGCTAAGGAGAAAAATCCTACAAATAATTTTGAACTGAAATGTTGGTTTTGTATGGAATTTAGTGAAGATACTTAAAAGGGAGAACTCTCATTTTGAAGCTGCTGTCATCTTGCCTTTGCACAGAGATAGCACAGGGTATCGGTATCTGTCTCTCTCCGTCTTCAATGCTATATTTATCACCCTCCTGGCCATAAAAGGTCTGGACTGGGGCTCTGACATTCCACTGACTGCAGGCATTATTTTTGTTCTGGACCTGAAGTCCAGTCCTTACCCCTCGTCCTGACAACCTGTTTCTTTGCTGGCTTCATCGTTGCTGTATTTTTCTGCTATTCATCCATTTGAGAGCTATTCCATTTGCTGCCGTTCTTTTGGGCCCTGGTAAGTGTTCCTTTATGACAGAAGACTTTATGTGTTCAATTATTTTTAATCTGAATCTGTAATGTGGAGCTGAGAGTAGCTCCCTTTATTCTTAGCTCAACAGTTATTTGAGGGACCTGCGGACACGCACGGAAGACATCTGAAGGTTCAGCTGTGAAATAAAGAAAAGTACTGCAAGGGTTCACTTATTATCAACTCAACTATCCTTGCATACTGTCACAGTACTCTCAAATGAAGCATAGGTTACTGAGATACAGGAGAAATTTGTCATGTAACCTCCTCTGAGCTTAGAGAAGGTGTAAATAATCTAAATATTTTCTAGTTGCTTAGGATGTCTTGTGATTTGTAAAGCCATTGACTGAGCTGAAGGAAATTTTATCATTTTTTTTCCTACTTACAAGAGGTTCTGGTTTTTATCTGTTTTACTGTTTTCACTTATTGATGGAGTAGATCTTTAAAGAATTACACAGACTGGTAAACAGCACAAGAAGTAATGCCAATAAAACCACTTCCTTTAATGTGCAGCTATGACCTACGAACAAGTGCAGAACTGTCTGTCTGCTCAGTAGTCATTTTGAAAATTCAGTTCAACAGCTGCTAACATATAGCCCCCAAAACTGCATATTCATCTGTGGCCACTAACATTTCTAGGCGAAGCTCTGCAGCTGTGAAATGCTACACAGATCTTGAGAGGGAGTGTTGCCCTCACACTAAAGGGGGCTGATTAGTGGACACAAACTAAGTAGGTGCAGGTAGCATGGATTTTAGAAAATGTAAGAGATGGGAGTCAATTCGATCATCAGACAGTGCTCCAAACAGGAGCAAAATACTTATGAGGTTCAGAGTTTCTTGTCATCTCTGATAGTGTCAGACTACTATATCTGATAGGATCAGTGTAACTAACTGATCCTGACCTGTGAGCAACGCTTGATGTTTCAGAGGAAATATAAAACATAATTCATAGTGTGATAAAATACCTATAAAAGGAGTTTCCTCTTGTATGACGTGAGTGGGAGTTGGCCTTTGATTTTAACCAGGAGAGCTGACTTTGTGCTCAGCTCCTGCCTTACTGCCTTAGTTCTTACTCCTATCGTAGATGCCTCCTCTTTACCCCTGAGGACAGAGCGATCCAGTTCTTTTATGTTTGGAAGAAAAAAGGTTGCCTTTGTATATTTTAAACACACTGACTTTAAGTCCACAACTTGTTCTTTTGCTCTGATAAGATGTAAATGAATTGCCTCATTTAACTTCTCCTTAATGGGCAAAACCTGCTGTGCTTTGTACTTTTGGATCACCTTCCTTACTTTAAAGCCTGGAAGGCTGTGGGAATCCCTGAGCAACAGGACTGAATGGCTGTTAGCATTGTGGATGTTGTATCTGCGATGAAGCCAGCCAACACCACAAATTAAGCTGGTGAAAATGAAGGGAGACAACTGTAGTACGGTACAGAAGGAAAACAGGATGATCTCATGTTCTTTCCCCTTCAGTGTTCAAAACAAGACTCATCTGTACTCCTTGACTTTGCTCAGCAGAGACCACAATGGCTTGCAAACACTAAACCGAACTCTGTGGAGCTGGGAGACAAAGCAATGAAGAAAAATTGAGAAGAAATCTGAAACTAGGGAAATTAAGAGAAACTATGTACCACCAGAAGCCAACAAAGTGAAATAAATAACAGCACAAAATATTGATAGGTATTAGAATGAAAGACTCCAGACAGAATAGTTGCGTTCTTTAGACTTACATGAAAAAATAGCCATCAGGATAAATAAGGTAATTAAAGAGGAATATCAGTTTTTGCCATAGAGAACATAAAGCTAATGCTTTTTGCCATTCCTCCCCCTTCCTCAGGTAAAAATAAAGTAAATGGATAAACTGGTCTCCTTGAAGTCATAGTTTCACTGTTTTCAAGATACCAGCAATTTTGTGTACATACTTAAAGATTTCTTAATGACCTTGTTACTTTCTTGTTGACTTTCTGCAAACAAGTGATCTCTTATCACACAAAGAGCAATCTCCTTGAGAGAGCCCTGAAATATAAGAAAGTTGAAACATGAGGGGTGTGTGTCATAATTTGCCTTAGTCTGGGTGAGTACGTGAGCAGCTACCAAAGAGAATAATTTGCAATTTGTTGACTTGTTCTCAGAGCAAAATATGAAAGAAAAAGCCAAGGACTGAAATCTAGGCAGCATAAAGACCAGGGAAAAAAAAAAAATCTCAATTTTCGTGAAATTGAAATTACACTCCAGCTCTGTAAATGCATTTTATATCATAACATCAGATAAGTTGTTTCATTAACATGAATGAAACCAGAAGCAGAATAAGTCTCCTATGTTGTGAGTGGTATTAAAAAAAAATAGTAACAAACACCTCTCACCATTGTTTTGGGATCTTTAACTTCTTCTAAACATTCCCCCACTGTAGCTCATTTCCATTCGTAATCACATGCCTCTTCAGGGACAATCCTAACCATGTCGTAATCACCAGTGAGAAGAGAAAGAAAGGTTATCACAGGGATTAGTAGAAGCAAGTTTATATGTCAGAGGAGAAAACCTGAGTTTTAATAACAGCAAAATAAAACAATAACAAAATAAAGACTGAATTGCCAGCTGAAAAAAGCCCAAGGGAAATCCTTTCTGCACTCAACCCTCATCCCATTTTGAGAAGGGAACTACCTCTCACCTGATCAAATTTCCTACTATGAGCAACTGCAAGACAATCTATTGAAGACTGTGCGAAGTAAAACTTAGACAGGGATATCGTCTGGAGGAAGTTTCTTGATGATCTTGAACATGACATACTAGGCTAAAAAAAAAAAAGGGTCATTCAGACTGAGAAGCGTGATGCTATTTTAGCCATTGCATATAGACTGGATATCTGATCAAAGTGCAGAAGTACGACCAGCCATTTTAAATGGATCTCTGATATCACATACAAAACAATCAATGTAATACATGTTTACAGAAAAAAGTGACATCCTTCTCAATCTTAACGTTTTTAATTCACTGTTAAAATATTAAATGGAATATGAAATTCTGTGTGAAAATTTGAAAACAAAAATGAATGAAATGTTCATATACTTTTATTTCAGCTTGCATAGAGCTGAATAGCCTTATTGGAGTTGTTCATGCCTTTTAAAATGATTTATTACTTTATTTTCTCTTTTCTAAGAAAAATATTTACAGTATCTCTGAACAAGATGAGCGCATAAAATTTAATTAGCTCGCAGTAATGAGTGGAGAAGTTGAACATGTAAAGCTTCAATAGATTGCAGTAACAGGGAGGCCAACTGCAAATGGATGGACACAATAGTGCAAGATTTTCTGCTCGTGATGAATGACATAAACATCTTGTAACTGAAGTACAAACTTATCTTAAGGTCTAAAAAGCATCATAAAAAGATAACCCTAAATGTACCGAGTTTGATTTTAGATTTTTGAAGTTTTAAGTTCTGTGTCAGCTTTTATTTTCTGTATTATTTTACACTAACTCAGGAGTTTCTTTGACATTAGTCTTTATGTTTAATCTGTTCTTTTTCAGACACTGTCCTGTTATACTTACATTCAGAAACGTGCAGGAAAAACAAAATTAGAAGACATCCATGATGTCTTTACCTTTCTACCAAAAACACCATGAGCACTATGACCGTGCGTACCGCCATAAAGCACTGCAGTCCACTGTAAGCCAGTACCAAAAGGAAACAAAGAGCAAATCTGCTGTCTATGCTCAAGGATCTACAGCTTATGCTAGGGGCTCTGCAGCCTATCGCCATGCATCTGCCGCAGACTTCAGCCTTGACTCTTCAGCAGCGTATAGCCATGGCTCTTCAGCCTATGACCTGGAGTCGGCAGCCTACAGCTATGGAGCTACAGCCTATGATCACTCTGCTGCACAAAGTAAAAGATCTGCTGCCTACAGTCTTGACTCTGAATCCCTCAGCAAGAGCTCAGCTGCCTACAGCCATGGATCTGAATCCATCAACAAGCTGGCTGCAGCCTACAGACTGGGAGCTGAATCCTATAGTCTCGGGTAAGCAAAATCAGTCATTGAAACAATATTCCAAACCAAAAATGTCCAGCCACCTCCCACTGAAATAAATGGCAAAACTCTCCTCCTCTTCCACAGAAATTGGTTCTGTAACTTGGTGTTAATGTGTTTTCCAGGCTCGGTGTTTTCCATTGGCTTTGGCAATGGGAAGGACTGTGGTCAGCTTAGTTTGTTGGACTAATTCACGGGTGATGGTTGGAGTGGCATAAGAAGAACACTGGCAATGCTGATGTGGCTGAATGATGACATATTCCCATTCCAAATTGATTAGCCATAAGCCACCTCTCCTTTCAAGTTGTTTTGCCATATTAGCACAGCTGAATTTAATATATAGTGTTGAGATAGCTTTTGGTTTGAGGCTGGCTCTTATCTGGCCATGTTAGAGCAGTAAAAGAACTTAGGGCTGTTCATGCAAGTTTGAGTTGACATATCCAGATAATGTTAAACAGTTCTTCTTTAGCCTAATGGTTTCAATTTTATACTGAATGATTCAATAAATTGAAATTTTCACACTGTATATGGGTTGAGGCATACTGTTTCCAAAGTAGGAGTACCCTGAAGTGTTCATCTTGTACTAGAAGAGCAGCTATGCTTAGCTGCCATGTTTTTGTTTATTTAAGATAATAAACATTGCTCAAACAATTACATTAGCAGAATATTTTAGATATCAGAGCCTCACATTATTTGTATGTATCTCAGAGATTTACAGAAATTAGGGGAGTATTAGAGTAAGATTAGAGCAGCTGTTAGCAACAGAGGAAATTATCAACAAATTACAGCCCAAAACATCTGCTCACTGTTATATTAATATAAAATTCAGAGTATTATTAGCAGAATTGATCAAGACTTGTCCATCAGAAAATTTAAATTTTGAAAACTGAATATCCTTCAAGGATTGCGGATAAAGATGGAATTCTGGCCAAAACCATGGAGGGAAAGACTACCTGTACTGCAGTAAACAATACCTTGTGATTACAGACTTCACCTGGTTTTTGGGAAGTTCAGGGTCAAGTCTGTATTTGCCAGGGTCTGTTCAGGAATTTCAACCGCAGGCTGTTAGAGCCCAGATGAATGACTTGACTACTTGACTGTCTTGGGCTTGGTAATATCCAGTCTGTGCTGTTGAAACAATTTCACTTGTGCATATAATCAACCACTGAGTGGAGCAGCGAGAAGCTGATTTATAATCTGTTGATAAAGGGAAGCAAACCGGAGATGCTGGGACTGAGGGTTATGTTTCCAGAGAGAGAGCTGGATAGGTGAAGATACTCCAATTTCTGCAGTGATGCAGCTGTGTCTACATGCTGTTCCTGAACCTCAACCCAAAGCCTCCTTCTCCTCGTATAAAACATTCTCATAAAAAATGGGAATATTACTTGAAGTTGCAAAAGATGATTGTAAAATTCCTGCTTCCAAGTCCCAGTTATAAACACTTCAGTGACTCTGGTTTGTCAGATGAGTTTCTCCTGAAACCTGTATATTCTCACCAAGAAGAACTTGAACATCAGCAACATGATATTAAAGGAAATGGAATTGCTTAATTGAGAGAGAACTTAAAATATTTCCAGGTTTCTTGAGGTTCTGTTTGAGAAAATAGCTTTTGTTTCAAAATAGTATATATGGTGATACTTCCAGGCTACTCTGTAGTACAAGAATTGCTAACAGATTGATATACTATCCTGGTAAACGGAGATAGGAATGTCTCAGCTGTAACTTCTTTTTTTTCTGTGATCCTGTCCTTGTGTTGGAGGTTTGAGAAACTCAATATTGTTGTGTAAGACTAGGACTCAGGAGATTAGAGCTACGTGATTTAAATCTCTCTTGCACAAAACTTGATTAATACATGAGAGAATATGGTTCTGAATTTAACTTAAGTTCTCAGTATTTAACCTAATTTTATGGGTAATAAGGCCTCTATGTTGGTATTTATTTGTTTTTTGCAGGCCATTTTTCTGCAATTTGCAAGAGGTAAATCAGAACAAATAGTGCAACTATATGGTTAAATGTAGTGACAATTTAAAGTAATTCTTTCCAAATTGGACTGTCTTCCCCAGACAGCCCAAAACACTTCAAGGGATAATGTGAAGGCAAAGCAAAGGATTTCTGATTTCATCCTTATGAAAGGAATGGTGTAGCAAAAAAAAAAAAAAAAAGAAAAAGAGTCTTCAAGCACTTTCAATTTTCAAAAGGTAGAAAGGGCCCTGAATTGAAATGCTGTGACTAAATGACCTACAACAGTGACGGTTGCGTGACACATGAATGGACACACAGATCCAAATTCAGATAAAACTCTACAGCTAGCAATTGATTATTGCATATCACTGGATTTTAGCATCAAATATACATTTATGTATAGTGGATATAGTTTTGTGGATAAACCCCATTATCCCCAACAAGAAAAGTGTACTATTCAAATACTGAGCTTTTATTCAGGTCACTTCTTATTTTTATCTAAATGAGCTTCTGCTAAACTTTACTAATTTAAGTCTCATCTTTTTCTGTAGCCACCTTACAGAAGAGAGTGTTCATAAAGTGACAGTGTTGACATGCAGTTAGTGCTATGTGAGGAATTTAACACAGGAAAACAGTGGAGGAGGACTAGGGACTACGTAACCTGCAAGACCTTGACCTTGAACCCAATTCTCTGATGTTGAAACCCGGCTTGAGTGTAAAACGTGCCCAGAATATAGACATAGACAGCCTGAAGGAGATGCAGATTGCTTTTCATGAGGACAAAAAAGGCTCCCTTTGCAAGTGGGCTGTCCCTTGCCCACATTTCAAGTCTTCTTCACACCATGACAGGAGGAGTGCGCAGGGTCTGTATGGGCAAGGGGTGGCAGCTCTCTCCCAAAAGCCGTTGTTGTGGCCACCTGTCCTCTTCCCTGTCCCGTCCTTGGAGGGTATCGACGTGGGCAGATTGGCTTTTGTGGGAGAACCTTCTTCCCGTGGCACCTCTCCATCCTCTGTGTGCTTCTGAGAAGCTTAGAGTCAGGTCTGCCAAAACTGCTTATAGCACTACAGTCCTGTCAATCGGGACTGCTGGATTAAACCCACTTACCTCTTTTTTTAGAAGCTCAGTCATTTGCCTTTGCTCAAACTTTCACTGCTTTTCCAGGTGTTATTTTCCTGGCTGGCAACATCAGATAATCCCATTGTGTCACAGATTCGTTATTGGCCACCTAACGGGGCCAGAGTGTTGCCTAGAGAGAAAACACAAGTTATTGTTGTGGCTCAGGCATTTGCATATATTTTGCAGGTCGGGAGAAGCAGCAAAGAAGATGTAGCATAATTCAGGTGAACCAAGCAAAAATAGAGGATAGATGCCTTATTAATTTGCAAATAATTAGGCTGCCAGACTGTAAGACCGAATGCTGTTCTGAACAATATTGTAGACAGGATTGGGACAGGGCTAAGTAAATAATACATTTTAAGAAACACGAGCACAGTAGTGATCTTGAGATCCCTACTGGCACTGCTTATCCTTTGGTTTATTATAGGTGAGGATTGAGAAGGTGGCTTCCAAACGTCATAGCCAAGCACAGAAATTGTTTTAATAAGACCTGCTATGTGGAAACAATTCCCCTTTAAAAAAATTTGTTGTGGAAGCTGTGTGAGGGAACAGTGTGATTATTGCCAGCAACACTGCCTGGGCCCGTGACAAATCTGTCAGCAACTTAAAATGAATACAGTCATCGGAGAGCTCTTCTCATCTTTAGAAGCTGGCTTTAAAGAGCTCTCTTGTGAAAATCCTTTCTTTCTTCCTCTCCTGTAACTGGGTTTGCCAATCCACTCTCTCCTCTTTACAGTGAGTGAGTTCAAACATTGCATACTGGGAAAGAAGCAGCTGCTGGAAAGAGGGCCTGGAAAAGGCCTCTCGGCTAAGGGAGCTCCTCCAGCAGGTACCGCTGGTACAGCTGTTGTCTATGCCAAGTGCATCCCTGTCTGCGCTCGGAATAACGTGAGAGAGGGATGTAAAAAAAGCCTGCTAAGGACAAGATACATGATTTTCTAGAGGTGCAAATGAGCTTGCAGGTGCCTTTTCATGCAGGGGTGGATTATCTGAGGAATAGGGTGTTACGGTCCGTTCGACACATTTCTACACCCACCGGGTGTAAGCTTCCTTTGTGCAGGGTGGGAAACCTGTCCCTCCAGGCACAGGAACGAGGGCAGTGCCAACATATTGAAGTATATATTTATATCTGAGAATAAGACAGCAAAACAAAACCTCTGGTTGGATGTTTCAGAGGCCCTGCACAATATTGTTGCATTTAGTTCTTCTGTTGGGCTAGAGGGAAAAGATAACAGTGTCTATCTGTTCTTTACATCTCTGCAGAACAATACCTGTGCCTTTAGCATTTATGGTCACCCAACTCGCAATTCAGTGACTTTACTGAGAAATTAAGAAAATGCTGGCGTTGTTATTTTAACATGCTGAAAACCATCAAGAAATGAGGACGCTAAGCTTGGGTCACCAACCTTGATAAGGCAGTACAGATAGTATCTGACCTGGAAAAAACTATACATACGCTAGCTAGGCATATCAAATGAGGCTGAAAGCTGTTAAAAGGTCATGGTACTGTTCCCCCCTGTGAAACTAGAGAGCACCGATACCCTGCTCCTTCTCCTCCAGGGAGATTCTGTTCCACATATCAGGTAAAAGGTTGGAACATTTTAAAATAAAGGGCAAGATTTTAGAATCTGGTTCAAGAAAATGGAGTCCTCCTTTGGGCTGCCTAAATAATGCTTGTAGGTAGGGTTTGGTTTTTGTGTTGCACAGGAAGAAATAGTAATAATGAAAAGGAAAATGGGGAAATAAGCTTCACGATTGAGGCAGTGTCCAATTTGTTTTCTCCTGTAAAGTTCTCCTTTTGAATATGTGTTTCTACTAGCCTCCATATAGCTCTGCCTGAACAAAAGCAAACAATAGGAGGACTTGGAAAGGCGAAACATTTTCTGCTGCTTACAACTTATTAATCTCAGCTCTTGGTTTATGCACTGCAATTCTCAAAAAAAAGATTTTGGAGTTACTCTGGATACCTCTCTGAAAACACCAGCTGGATGCTCTGACATGGTCGTGAAGCAATTAGAAATTTCAGAATAGCTGTGAGGGAAAGTGAAAATAAAACAGAAAGCGTATTGTGTCAGTGTGCTAATCCAAAGTATGCTCATAGCTGAAATACTGGGTGCAATTCTGATCATCTTATCCTAAAAAGTGCAGTCTGAAACTGGAAAAGGGTCAGAGATCAGCAAGGAGGGTAGTGCGAGATGTGGAATACCTTCTGCCTGGAGAACGTAAGACACTGGGGCTTTTACCTTGGGAAGGAGGCAAAAGTGGGCATGTAATGTTAATGTATAAAACAGTGAAAGATGCGCAGAGAGTGAACAAGGAACGATTTTTCACTGTTTCTCGTACAGAGCAGCATGCAAGCACAAAAGAGATTCTAAAGTTGCGGATTAAAACAGGTTCAAAAGAAAGTGCCATTTTAACATATAAGTAAATTGTAAGCTCACTGCTATAGCCGGGATGCAGCCTCTGGCTCAGGATGTACCTAGGCATTTGCTTAAAACCAAAATGGTTTATCGGAGGAAGTATTTCTCTACATAAGCTTTCTTTTTACCTGCTTTTAACTATTGTGGGAAGAGGAAACTGGCCTAAAAGCACCACTGGCATTATTCAGTGAAAGACTTCTCACTGGGGCCCTGCTTGGTCCAGAACAAGTTTTGTCCAGGCCGTTTTTGTCCAGTACAAGGACAATGACTCTGGTCGCAGCTGCCCCTTACAGAGAAAGAAGAGAGGAAAAGGCAGCTAGAAAGGTGCTTTTCTGGTCCTGAGCACATACACACAAAGGCCAACTGAAGGATGCAGTAACATGAAGGATCCAGGAGCAGTAATCCAGAAAACAGTCAGGTGACTGCAGTGAAAAGTACCTCAGTCAAGAGACATGCAGTTTAGAAAACTCGGCAGAGAGTGGGAATCAGCTGTGCACATACAATGGCTTTATCCTAGTCATCATACCTCAATAAAGGTCCCAGTTCCATCCCTGTTTCTCAGGCTCCGTTGTGATGGAGATCTCTGGCATTAATCTGAAGGATTTAGGGGATATTTTCATAAAGCCAGCTGTGGAAGGCAGAGAAAATGAAAGTGAGATATTCAACTTAAAATATTTGGAGCGTTTGGTTAAAAAAACAATTGTGAAACAAACAGAACATATAGCAATTTAGGCTTTCCTTTTCAAATAATTTTAGAGAGTTATAAAATAGGAAAAAAAACGCGCCAGGTAGGAAAGACATCAACAAAAGGCCTAGCAGAGGCCTACACTCCCCTTTAGTTCCCTACATGAGTGTGTAATCTGGACCTTAACTGAAAAGTAAACTGACAGGACAGTCAAATTCTCCTTTAGGAACAAAGAGCAAGTCTGGATTTAACAGTGCTGAAAATGCCTGAGCTGAAATTTTCACCACATTTCATCTTACTTTCACGAAAATAGAAACTTCTTGATATTTAAACTGAAGTTCGAATGATACTGTGATCATTCTTGATCTAGAAACAACCAGGAATCAAGTGGCCTCCTATACAAGGTTCAGCCTAAAGCCCCTAGGAAATCCGATGTCAGAGTCAAAATTCCAGGTTTGTCCCATTTTAAAATAGGACAGGAATAAAAGTCAGCGGTTAAGAACTGCAGCTCCTTACAGACCATAGTTCATTTCTGAAAAATGATTAAAATAATTTCCCTTTGATGTCTCTCACCATTTATTTGACAATGAGTTCTCCCAATGTATTTGTGGTTGACTGTAGTGATTGCACCACATCGTTGCCCAACCCAGGAGTGAGGCCATTGCATACTCTGTTTCACGCCATCTCTTCCCTTCTATTTTACTCTGCCTGGGCTGTTTCCAAGTGTTTTCTGCTGTGATTTCTGTCCCTCAAGCTGGATCTGCCTCCCTTGGACTCCCTCCCTGGTTGCCTTGGGCATCAGACCCTGCAGCAGAGAGCCTCTCTACCCCATAGACGTCTTGACTGACCCAGTGCTGCCTGCCATGGTCAACCCTTGACCCCAGCCCTGCAGTGTGTGCCACAGCCCCTCTCTGGCTGTGCTTCTGCTTGCATGGAAGCCAGGATATAGGGGGAGGAGTAAGGAAGGAGAACTGTTGCAAGTTTGCTTTTACCCCCTGTACTGAGCCTTTCTCGGCTGTGGTGCTGTTGGCATGGTGACGGTGCCTGCAAAGTGACCACTCAGCACAGAGGAGAGGGCTACCTCACTGCGATGCTGGGAAAGCTGAGTCTGATGAGATGGGGACTAAGCAGAAAGAAAAGAAAACTTCCTGACTATGCTGGGAGTGGCAGGGCAAAGAGATGAGGGCTGGAAAGCAGATGTGGGAGGGTATGTGAAATTCAGGCAAGGAATCACAGAATCACAGAATCACAGAATAGTAGGGGTTGGAAGGGACCTCTGTGGGTCATCTAGTCCAACCTCCCTGCTGAAGCAGGGTCACCTACAGCAGGCTGCACAGGACCTTGTCCAGGCGGGTCTTGAATATCTCCAGAGAAGGAGACTCCACAACCTCCCTGGGCAGCCTGTTCCAGTGCTCCGTCACCCTCAGAGGGAAGAAGTTCCTCCTCATTTTCAGATGGAACTTCCTGTGCCTCAGTTTGTGCCCATTGCCCCTTGTCCTGTCACTGGGCACCACTGAAAAGAGCTTGTCCCCATCCTCCTGACACCCACCCTTCAGATATTTGTAGGCATTTATAAGGTCCCCTCGCAGCCTTCTCTTCTTCAGGCTGAACAAGCCCAGTTCCCTCAACCTCTCCTCGTAGTGGAGATGCTCCAGTCCCCTCACCATCCTTGTAGCCCTCCGCTGGACTCTCTCCAGTAGCTCTTCATCCTTCTTGAACTGGGGAGCCCAGAACTGGACACAGTACTCCAGATGGGGCCTCATCAGGGCAGTGTAGAGGGGAAGGAGAACCTCCCTTGTCCTGCTGGCCACACTCTTCTTGATGCACCCCAGGATCCCATTGGCCTTCTTGGCAGCCAGGGCACACTGCTGGCTCATGGTTAACCTGTCGTCCACCAGGACACCCAGGTCCCTCTCCGCAGAGCTGCACTCCAGCAGGTCCACCCCAAGCCTGTACTGGTGCATGAGGTTGTTCCTCCCCAGGTGCAGGACCCTGCATTTGCCTTTGTTGAACCTCATCAGGTTCCTCTCTGCCCAGCTTTCCAGCCTATCCAGGTCACGCTGAATGGCAGCACAGCCTTCTGGTGTGTCTACCACTCCTCCCAGTTTGGTGTCATCAGCAAACTTGCTGAGGGTACATTCTAACTCTTCATCCAGGTCGTTCATGAAGAAGTTAAACAAGACTGGGCCCAGTACTGACCCCCGGGGGACACCACTTGTTACCAGTCAAGATCTGCGAGTTAGAGATGTATTGCGTTAGGAAAGGATGATGGAAATATTTGGAGCTTTGTTAACGCAATTTGTAACCATGTTAAAACTGAACCAAAATGACTGCCTCAAATATGCTTCACACTCTTCAGAATGCCTCCCAGGCTGGTGGGGAGGGGAAGGCTTCCCTTTGGTTTACTCTTCTTTCTTTACATTCATTCTCCATTTATCTGTGCTTGTTAAATGATGCTACTTCACTCAGCTCTCTGCTTTCAATGGATTGGGGTGGCACAGGAGAGCAGTCAGAATGGCAGCAGTGGTTACTGAGAAATACACTGCCCTACAGTTTCTATAGAGAGACTTAAATGCATTATTACTTTGAATATATTTGCATACCAACATTTTGGTTGGGCACCAGACCATTTCAGGACTGTAAATTTCGAAAAGTTGAGGTTACGAGTTCAGATACAATCTTAAGAATTACTCAGTATTCTCAGTGAACTGGGTATACAAACTCTCCAAGTCCCAAACCAAGAAGCTGTTACATGTGCATTGTTATCAGGTATATTGTTTATTCTCTCTATTTAGATTTAATATCATGGGGCATCAATGCTGTATTTGTAGTGATGAGTTTGGCAAAAGTGCATTTAGTTATGTGTTTAAGAACTCTGAAGCCATGGCTATTAAAAACAGTATTTTCTTTCTTATCAAACAAGAGACAGCAAAAATTTTCAGTACTTTAAACTTATTTTGGAGTGTTTCTCAACAGCTTTTTTTTTCTGAATTTAACAATATAATTTTTATTTCAGACTGAAAGATTCCAATTTAATGATTGAAGATCAGTCCTATAAGATGAGTCCCAAAGCAAAGAGAGCAAAACAGAGTTTGGTATCTGAGGACAAAGAGAACGAAGCCATAGATTACTCAGTACCCATATTCACAGGACGGTATGTTCATTTTGCTTTTGCTTGGTATCTTATTTCTGACATTTTATTAACAAATTATCAGATAACATATCCACTAATCTTTTTTTACACTCGTGGATATCAAGGTGATTGTTTGCACTTCACATGAGTGATAAAAAGACAAAGAGAAGTCAACTGACTGGCAGAAAATCAGACACTGAGCATCCAGAGCCAGGACAAATGAACTTAGGTGTCTGGACTTTGTTTTGAACACATCGCCAGGGCCACTTTCTGTGAAATTAAGATATAATTATAACCCTGCTTATTGGGAACCGGACAAGCATGTTGTCCACATTATTGAGCTTATTCTTTATGTTGGAAGACTTGTTCTGTAATTCAATGTCTCTTACCAAGCATTATACATAGAAACAATAAAATGATGTGCTAATGTTTTGTCCTGGCATAGGGAAAACCTGGAACGAAATCAAATACTTTCTCAAATCATCGTAGTGATTCATACTGATCTCACATGTTGATGGTATTTATTGCATGGTTACTACTGATGTAATACATCTTACTGCAGCAGTGTCCTCAGTAAAGCTGAATGTGAACTTTATGTGGAAGCCAGAATCAACACAAACAAGGAGGCTTCCCTACCCTTTTTGGGGTATGGCATACTGATTTTATTAGGAGTCTCCAACAGTTTGAGCATAGTCACTTGTTCAGATTAGTACATACTGGGGCGTGCTGTGGAAAACTGGTTCTTGATTGGAGGCTAGGAGGAAAATTTCTTGTCACCTGCAGTTGAATAGAAACCTTCTTTCAGTTTGTCTTTCTTCTGCAGCACAGCATTTTTCATGGGACACTTCCAAGCTGTCTCTGGGAGCCAGTGCTTTTCTGTCTACTGCTTAATGAACACCCAACGTCACTTTTGCTTTGTGTCCAAACTTGTGCTTTTGTGTGCAACTGAGTTCCATCTTGTCAGTGGGAGATGTTATTACTTTGGCCTTTTGAGCGCTTGTGATGCTTTTGTGATGAGACCAGCAGTTTTGGTTTTTATTAATTCCCTCCCACTATCCTGGAATAAATTTTTTTCTCACACCTTGCACGTTTCTGTGTTGGATTCACTGCTCTTTGATCCAACCAACATTCAAAAGCACACACTGTTGCATTTCTAAATCATTTCTTCAGACTTTCAGCTATATCTTCTGTGACAGAAATACATAAATATGTCTCACACAAAACTTGCAGTAACATATTTTCAAGGTTTCTCACTACCTTTGCACTTCACCCACTTTTTCTGCTTACATAGCAGTAGATTTGCAGTTCAACATCATCTGTCTCCCATGCCCTCAAACACATATATCCTCCCTTTTTATTATGTCTAGAGTCTACACAAGTAAAATCTATAGTGTTTGTTAACAGCTGCAAATCATGACTGATGGCCAGTACTCCTCGATGTCGATCTTAGCTTTTTTACAGGTCCCTGTGATCTTAACACATCATGTTAACATCTTAACAAATCTTTTTTTTTATTTTCCTTTTTTGTAAAATGAATACAGTAATATCTAACTCAGGTGTGTAGCTTCATTTATTTGTGCCTGTGCAATACTTTGGGATCCTACATTAAAATATATTGTTGGATTCTTACATTGTTGTTACTCTTCTTCTTACTGTTGTTGGTATAAATCTTACTTCTTGCACATGGCAACTCAGGAAGCAGTGTGTGCTTTTGGGCCACTGAAATGACCCAAGTAATTTTTTTTTTAATTCGTTAAAAAACTATAAAAAGGACATATGATGATTGTTAGGGTGCTCAACTCAACATGGCATGAAATGGTTATCTGTTTTAGGCTTTTTTTCTTCAGCATCATGGTCGTGACCGCATGCCAAGACTGTGGAAGTTGCATGCCACATTCCTGTCAGATATTTATTTTTGTTTGAAAGATAACATCTGAAGCCCATTGAACCATGTGCATGTTTTATGTCATTCCCAAATTCCCCTGTGAAATTGATGTGTTGTTTCCCATGGGCAGATAGCTTTTACAAGGAATAGTTATTTATAAAGGTCATCTTTCTGTGGGTTCATTGGAGCTGCTGCCTGTGCTGCTGGACGTCCTTCAGCACCGTGTCACCATTTCCATTATTTGGTTCTATTTCAGAGCCCTCAGCTTCTGCTGTAAAAAACTCCCTCGCTCAGATTACTTACTTCACAACCATTCTTCTTAAACACCTAGCCTAATCCTTGTAAGATAAAATTAAGGACAGCCAACCAGTATTCTAGGTAATAAAATACAGCTTGTTTAATGCCATAGGTGCGAAAGATTACTGGATGTGGCTCGTAGAACTATTTGCAATCACTAACAAGCCTATGCCAAAAGACTGCAGATGGCAGATACCCTTTAAATAGTATTTTGTGTGTGCCATTTGGGATTTGATCTCGTTGTTTCTGTTTAAAAAGTGTTTTATACTGAAACCCCTGAGACTTGACTGTAGAATCAATTCTTAAATGGTACTGCATGCTCTTTCTGATGCATTCATCATTTCAGGGAACACATTTCTCTTTGATCTGGGAAGATTATAACAGGAAGAAATGATTAGCAAATCTAAATATTTAATATGGTTGATCAAAAGCATCTGGGGACCACTACTGCAGATGACTAGGCCGAGTCCTATATTACTCTGAGGATATTCATCAGCTCCCAGAAGATGCTTTATGCCTTGAGGAGCGGGTCTATACTGTGAAGTTGCTGAGATCTTAACTACTGTAGATAAGGAGGAAATAATGTCAGCTTGCCTTTGAAGAAAAATGCCACTGATTCATTTAAACTGAATGTAGATAGCTAAATTCATATTCATTAGAGTGAGTTTTCAAAATTGTGTTTAGAAATCTCTGCCATATCTCTGCAGCTTCAGATGATATTTGGGGGGCGGAGCTGATGTGCCTAAGTGAAGGGAATCAGTCATCCCACTGATGATTTTAAGGATCATCCTATTAAAGCAGCCTGAAACACAGAAAGTTCAAGGCAGAGTTTGAACACGTGAGGGAGGTCAAAGTTCTATGCTGTTAAGTAATTTTTGGTCTTCTGAGCAATTGTTATGTGTAATTAAGTTAACTTTCCACTGCTTGGCTGTCTTGCATCTCACAAAACTGACTCCATTGTCCAAAGATAAGGGGCTGGACAGTTAATTATGGGCTTTAATCCAAATTTTCTTGAGTGTTGAGATGTGCTACCTAATGCATAACATTAACAATCTTAAAGAAAACAGAAAAAAAATCATTCCTCCCAATCTTTTTGCTTTGAAGCAGTACTAAGCATTTTATGATAAAACAGCGAGACTGTGCTTGACTGCATTCTGGAAATAGAGGCTGCTTTCTCTATAGTGCTTGCACGATGGCACTTAACGAGAACTGGAACAGAACCTCTTTTCATTGTGCCATCTAATGTTACCCTAAAGTAACTAAACTGAGCAGAAGCATATTAATGCTTCTCCTTAAGTCAAGGAACTCCCATTGTAAATGCTATATGCTATAGCAGCTAAAATGTCCTGACAGTGCCAAAAGAATATGGCTGCAACGGTACTTCCACATGTGCATATAGAAACAGGACTGGACCCATTAAATCACAGAAGCACAGAAGCACAGAATGTTCGGGGTTGGAAGGGACCTCTGTGGGTCATCTAGTCCAACCCCCCTGCAGAAGCAGGGTCGCCTACAGCCGGCTGCACAGGACCTTGTCCCGGCGGGTCCTGAATATCTCCAGAGAAGGAGACAATTGAGAGAGAATTGAGAGCAACCATTCTTTGCATCTTGCCTCTGTAGAAATGTGGAGAAGGATGCTTCAAGAAAATGCTTAATCAGCTTCTTGAAAACATTTGGAAGAACAGTCACCCTACAAACATTACAGGATTAAATTTTGTATGAAAAAAGAGAACTTTTTGTGATAGACAGTAATATGGGGGTTTTGTATAAATCACAAATGAGGACTTTGTTACACAGCTACAATTATCTCCTGCCCCTTTGGTAGTGTTATTATGAATGCTGCAGCCGTAAGTCAATAACTGAAGATCTGTGGGTATGCCTTACACTAATCTTTATAGTGATGGAGATATAAAACCACAGCAGGATAAAGGTTAAACTGAAAATGCATATGGCATAGTTGTACAGAGAGGCACTGAAAACAGCCTTTTTTCACTGTTAAACAGCGAAATACTCCATCATTCTGCAGTACCCTTCCATGTTTCTGCTGTGAGTACGTATGAGACTGTAATAGCAGAAATACGTTATGAAAACGTGTTGGCCACTGTAGTTGGCTAATTTGATAGAAAGTATAAATGGAATATGTTCTCAGCATTTTCCACTGGGATTCTGCTTTTTAAAAACTCTTTCAGAGAAGTGAGTGTCAGTGGGATCACAGACACGGAAGAAGAAAGAATTAAAGAAAGTGCTGCATACGTTGCCAAGAGGAACCTTTTTGCCACAAGTGAAGGAGTTAGTGTCAGCAAAGTGGCCAAGTCAACTTCTGAAGAGGAACATCATGGAAAAAAATCAAGGAAAGTAGCGATCCGGGAGTCTGCTGAACGTGTGGCCCTGAAGAAAACGGTAAAAGAATAGAAATGAACACCTAGGCTGTAGACAGCGTGGGTCTTTTTTGTTTGATGTTTGTAACATGCCTAGCTCAACAGGGCCCTGATTTACTCCATGGGCAATCACAATTATGGTAGTAACAAAACAGAGTATTTTCAATGGAAGTCTTTTCAATGACTTGAAGTCTTGTTATCTTTGGTGTCAGGTGTATAAGAAAAGAAGTTCAGTGCCTGAGGTAGGCACCAGGGACTCTTCTGTTGTGTTGGGAGAGAGCAAGGGAGAACGGGGATGAGGAACGCTCTTTGGTCATGCCCACACCTGGTTAAATAGCACAGCATCCTTCACCTGGACGATGAGGCAGTTACTGGCAGAGAAGGAAGCTGTCAATATACACATCTTGCCAATAAGGAGGTGATGGGCTAATTTCTGGATTTCTATGGCCTCGGAACAAGGTTGTCGAAAGTGTTTACCCCAGAGTTTTAATCACAGAGTGTAAATTAGGGAGGGAATTGCCAAAGACGTCTGGAACCGAATCTATGATTGTGGGTAGCTTTGATATTATTGTGCAACTTCTTTAAAAATAACACTCAGAGGATAGTTACAAATATGTTATGACCCTACTGGCAGAATATACGAAGTGCAAATATGTTTCATTTAGCAAATTTATTAATGTTCTGAGCAGAAGAATTTGTGATACGCTTATAAAATATCCTCATGACGTAAGGTTGGAAAGGGTGTAAACACTTTGAAGGACAAGGTAAAAATTCAAAATAATCTAAAACACTGAGAAGCAATGAAGGTGAAATTTGTTAACAACCAATGGAAATTACTACACACAGAAGGAAAAGAATAAGTAAATGAGGAATATCTGGCTAGGTGGAAGTACTGGAGGATCTGGGAGTTACAACAGGTCACAAATTTAATCTCAGTCCATTTAATGACAGTCATTGTTATGTAAAAACAAATGCCATTCTAGAGTGTATTAACACATGTCTTGTCATTAAAACGCAGAGGGTAATTATTTAATTGTGTTAGAGGCTGTTGGATCTCTGATAATGAGTAGTTACTCTTTTATGACTGTTGAGGACAAGTAGAACCTGTCTAGATCTGAGAAACAACAATTGTAAGGAAAATCGGTATTGCACAGTTTATAAAAGACTGAAAGGATTATGAAACCTGTCTTCTACTGATAACCTTAAGACAGGAAACAGTAAATCCCCATATATGTGAAAGCTGGGGCAGAAAATAAATAGTTTTGTTTTCAGAAAGCAAGATTTATAGTATATTAGGAATTTTTTTCCAGCTCTGTGGAAGCCAAGCAGTTGAAGCAGTTACCCTGGGAGGATGAAAGATCCCATCAGCAGGAGAAGTCTGAGAGCAGGTCTGTGAGAGATGAGCTAGGCATACACAATTTTGCATTAGAGCAAAAGTATGTCTGAGCAGTAGAAGCTCGTCTGAGCAGAAGATGTCTGAATTTCAAACCTATTTCACCTTCCACTCTGTTTTAAAAAAATAATTAAATGTGGAAAATTATTTTACTTAGAACAGCATTAAGGGGAAAAAACCCAGTAAAATCAAATTCAGCTATTTTGGAAGAACTTCCTGAAGGCAAAAACTTTGTTTTCTGTGTCCAGGTGAGATAAATACATGCAGTATGTCTACCTAGATTTTTACATAAAAATTGCATAACTTTTTTTTCTGCTCTTAAAAATAATAATATGCTTTTCTTGTATTAATAGTTTGCACTTATAACTGCTGGAGTTTGAGTTTATAATCAAATGTTTCTTTTCCAGCTAGAAGAGACTCAGGCATTCCACAAAAAGTTGAATAAAGATAAACTTTTACATCCTCCTGAGTTTGTTATCGAGCCTCGTTCTCACACTGTCTGGGAAAAGCAAAATGTCAAATTTCATTGTTCTGTGGCTGGCTGGCCAGCACCCCGTGTTACATGGTAAGTTTGTATCTCTACCACTGAAAGTCACCACATAACCAGTATCTGAAGTCATCTCAGTGAATGTGGTATTTTTTCAGGAAATATGAAAGTTTAATACAAACAAATCAGGTAGAGAGGCCTGTCAAACTCCTTTCAAGTCACCTTGTACAAAGAAAGCACAAAATATTACAAGGCAAAATTATTATTTTGTATGTAATTTTTTTTATTATGTAACAACAGTACGAATACATAGATATTTTTTTCATAGAGACATCCAATATATTCTTTCTGTCTGCCGATGAAGGAAAAATAGCAGTTTAATTTATTGTCAGTACTATCCTTAAAATAATGTTTTCCAAACACTTCTGTTTAGTCTACAAATGTCATTAATGTCCCTGAATCATGAAGGCATGCTTTGGTTAAGGGCTAGCTGCTTGGCTGCTGAGCGGTTATAGTACTGAACCTCCATTAAACTGAAATCTCATGATGCAGGTTCTTCATAGCAGACATACCATAGTTTTTTGAAGTCAAAGACTACAGATAGATTCAGGACCATCCAAATATTCTGAAGGGTTTGGAGTCTATTGGAAACTTGCTATTCACTTGAGTGGTCTTTGGACTAAATCTTTACTGTAAGAACTCCAAAATATATTCTTAGTCATAGCTGAAGGTCTAATTTGACTCTTGGGTTAAAATTTACACTGACTGGAATTGAATTTAGCTTAATCAACAGTGACTTGTGAAGTTTTGCTGCCTCACCAGCTGATCTTTCTTATCTATTTCATGCTACACAGATACCATCAAGTTGTTAAGATAATAGGTAATAACTTTTTTCCAAATATAAAATGAGATTTTATGTCCATTATTGAATTTAAATGATTCTTCTAGAATGTGTATATAAAACACATGAATGTGTTTATAAAATGAACCAGGAATAAGCCTGTGTTCAGCATTAAGCATTAACTAGCAATAAGTCCTATGGAGATTCTATTTATGGAGGCAACAGAAAACACCTACTACATCATAATGTTAAGTAATACTCATATTTTGCAATTTACTACTTGAATTTCATAATGGACTCTGTGTTTATTTAGGTCTTAAAAACCTTAATCTCAGGGCTTGATAAAAAGTGCTACTAAGAGGTACATTAATTGGCCAGAGCTGACGCCTGTGATGTCACTTGGTGTCTCTCCTTAGACAGTGACAACTGGTAGCCAGGCTTTGCACGGACTTATTTTTCCTGTGGTGTCAGGATTGCGAGTGCCCTGTTTTGACATTCCTCCTAGAGAGGATTCCAGACAAACCCTTTGGGTCTGGTCTCAGCTGGACATAAGGAATGGTCAGCTACCGTCATGGCTGTAATCCAGCTCTGTAACCTGAATCCTAACCAAGAATGTGAGAGCTGGGCATTTTCACTTTGGTTAAGATTCACCTTATCCGAAAAACCTGACGTGGTTAAACTGAGCCTTCAGCTGTCTGCCTTTTTGCTCTCACTGTGAATCAGCCTTTCATCTAAGTGCTAAATGTGGGTCCTGGAAATTAATACATCATTTTAACGTACATCTGCATTCCAATGGGATTTCAGTTCGCCACAGGCTACTAATGGAAAAAAAGAGTTCATAGCCATTTCAGCAGGTGTCTTTGCTCTGAGATACAGAACAGTGCTAACTTGGATCTGTCAGCTCTCATTCAGTATTTCTAACGAAATATCAGTTGTGTATTCCAAACAGTCTTTCTTTGTACAAGCAATGGAGACCTCTTCATGCTGTGCATGATAAATTATAAAGCTCCACGAACTTTATCTGAAGAAAACCTTACTGGCTGATGCAGCTGTTCTGACTCCCTCGGAAAAAGCATATGGAAAACCGAGGACATTTGAAACCAGTAGCAGAAAGCATAAATTATCAGTGCATAACGACAGTGGGAGATTGCAGTCCAGCATTAGCTAATGACTTGGCTGTTCTGGAATTTGTGTTTCCAGAAATAACAAGTGGTCCTTCCAACACATGGGCCCTATTCTTTCCATAGATGAATACAAATCAGTGAAAATTGAATTAATTATTTTTTACTAACCTGATAATGAAGACAAGAGAAGTGAAAGTCTTCTTGCTGCTGCTTGATTCAGCTTGTTTCTGCACAGCACTGCATGCTACTGAATGCCCTTGCTGAAAGGGTCGCCCAACCCTTTGGAGAAAACTTAAAGAGATTACGGAGTCAAGACTTGTTTCAGAGGATTTCATATTCCCTGGAAAATATTAGGAACTGATGGCATTATTCTATTTTCCAAACCATTTGACACACTACATGGAATATAAAGATGCCCAGATGTTCTCAGGCAGGTCATTCTGGGGGGCATCACGGCACAGATGAGGTGAAGAGTGGTAGCGAATGGCTGTAAGTCAGGATAATGCAGTAGGAGACCTATAATGAGGTCAAGCACCTCTGCAACCGTTTGAAGTCTGGAATAGAGGGTATTGCCCTTCACTGAGTCTCTTTTCATAGACATCTTGCTGAGGGAAAGATCAGGGCGAAAAGCGTTAGGGTTTATGATCCTCGCTCACTCTGGCACTTGGAAAAATCCCAGTGTATTACTGTGCCCAAATATTTGTAGCCAGCGAAATATTCTTTATTCCACAATGCTGAAAGGCAATTTTCAGATTTACTGCAGGTATAGCTTCATCTTGAGACATATTAAGCTAATAATATTCTTGGTAAAAATAATATAGCTAATTACTGACTTGTTTGGTGAAGTGGGACATACCACTGACAGCAGAGCAGTTCCCTTTCCTAACTGAAAATCATAAGACTGATCTTTTAAATCCAAAATGAAGAAGCAAAGCTCTTTGGCTGGATATCTGATATGTCTTATGAAGAGAAAGGTTTATTCAAGCTACATCAAAGTAAAAGATGGAGATACTTTTATCTATAATCATTTATATTTCCACTTCCCTTACATATGCACCTTACAGAGCACAGGGAGAGCTATGCTAAAGGAGAACACTATCTTAGGGAACATTCTTTCTTTATAGACCTCATATCAAATCAAAGTGTTTAATTTTGTTACACTCCTATTGCCAGTTTGTTCCATGTTAATAGTGTTTGCTTAAGAAAGGATTCACTCCAACATTTACTTGGTTACACCATGTATTGTGAGTGACTTTTTATGCAATGATTGGTGAAGAAGAACCTACCATGAACCACTGAACTCTCCCTCCGTGAGTCTCAGGCTGTTCATATAAATTCTGAAATTAGCAGTGCCAGCTCACTACTGAGCAGTATTGGCTTATGCTTTCAAATTACTTACTGGGAATTTTGAGCAGTAAACTTCTTTCTACTTGAAGATATACCTGTACCAGAAAACATTCATAGTGTATACTTGTAAAGGCAGAGAAGTTTTTCGTAGTACAGACTTTGCCAGAACTCTCACTGCAATGCACTTTACCATCAAGAAGTTTTTTTTAATCAGTCTAACCCTATTTGCGTTGGGGCTTCTGCCAACCTAGCTACGCAAGTAAAAAAAAAAAAAAGTTAATTTTCTACCTGAATTTTTTGTGAGTATGCGGGTTTTAGAAGTAGATGCAATATGCAAAACAAACAAAATGTGTACCGTACCTAGTAGGTAAGGATACTACAGAATTTTCATTCTTTGCAATTCACAAACCTCTCAGATGTTTCTCATGTGACTCCTCAATTCCTTTACAAGTAGTAACCTGAAATTCATGGCAATATAAGTTACTTTTCACCCTGTTCAGTACTATTTTCTCCTTTTAATAAGAAAATAAAATTCATCCAGGGCAGGTCAAAGACAAAGAGAGAGAGGTTAAGCTTCTCTTTATAATGTCTTTCCAGGAAATTAGACTACAGTTTAGGAGAAACATGCGGAAACTGATGTTCTATTTCAAACACCAAGCACCTGACCTTTTAAAGTATATAATTATACACTTCCATTTGTGACATACTGTTTCCTTTTTTTTCCATAGGTACAAAAACAATGTGCCCATCGATGTACAGGCTCACCCTGGCAAGTATATCATTGAAAGTCGATATGGGCTGCACTCACTGGAGATTAGCACGTAAGGGAATACTAGATGGTTTAACAAATAGCTTAAGATGAAACTTTTCTTTAGATTGAGACCTGCAAAATGTGAACATATCTCTTGGGGATGTAAAAGACATCAAGTTTGCACAGCTGAGGTGAATGCTGTCTACTAACTGTTGAAACAGTTCTGTTTTTCCTCAGTAGAGGATATGCAACTTACCTAAGTGAGTAATGTATCTGGATTATTATTCTATTTATGGCTGAGTCGGAAACATGTGGGACATTTGTGATTACTTTTTCCATTTGTCTGCTGCATGAGTACAGTTAAACATGAGAAAAATCTAGTTCAGGGTGAAAATATGTGAGCTAACTGTTTTTCAAACATAGCAAAGTTCCTGGTTCCTACTGAAATGAGGAACAGAAATGAGATGTCCTCACTTATACACAAGAAAGATCTTCAACAGTACTCATCCTCCAAATGGGAAATTTTTGTAGTCACTTTGGATTAAAAAACACTGAAAACATGAGACATAATCACCTAATCTGACAATCAGCAACAATCTAGATTTCTCAGTTTAGATACTGGTAGATGCCCTTTGAAAATACTTTATGATATCTACTGTTTCTACAGCTTCCACGTTAGGCATCTCTCCATAGGAGACAGTAATTTAGAGATAACATAGATAAATATTATCAGACAGTTTTTCCTAATTCCATTGTATTTTCAATTTCAAATCTGCAAGCGATATTTGAAAAGAGACATGTATTCCAAACACTGGCTTTTTTAATGGCTGCAATCAGTCCAGTGTCCTGTGTGTCTGTCTCCCAAGCTTTATCTTCTTTATAGATTTTACACAGATTTCTGAGGGGTTTTTTTGATCCAAAACACAGGAGAGGGTATGTCAAGGAGTAAACAGGTGCCATGCCTAATCATTTCTATCATTTTAGATGTGATTTTGACGACATTGCTCAATATCGAGCCTCTGCTATGAATGTTAAAGGAGAAATTTCGGCTTATGCTTCCCTTGTGGTAAAGAGTAGGTTTGCAAAATATTTCATTTTTTTAATTTTTTTTTTTTTTTAAGATGCACATTTTCAGTTTCATTTTTGTTGCTCAGAGCCTTTACTTCTTGGTGATAGTGACTGGAGTTGCTCTTTTTCTGTCTAGGGTACAAAGGAGAAATTGATGCAAGTCTTTTGCATGCTGGAACTGTTTCCATGCCTTCGGGCCGTAAGTGGCACTATGTGTTTGTTTGACACATCTATTTACAGTTGTGACATCATGACGAATGACTAAGCAGAATATTTTGTAACATTATTTAAAAAGGAAGCAGGTCCGATTTACAAAGTTACTGAGCTCTACAATTTCAGATGGTGTCAGTCTCACCCATAGGGGAAAATGGCATTGCCTTCTGGGTCTACGGTTATTTGCTTATATAAGAAACATCTTTTTAATATTGCCCTTGGTTGCGGAATATAATCTGTCAGAGAGAGGCATTTCATCTCTTGCAATATGTAAAACATGGTCTGGAAAAAAGCTAGGGGTGCATGTTCATAAGCAGAGTAGTTGACTTAATTGTTCTTGTCTGCTGCCATGCAGTTCCATGCATTGGCGAAAATGCATAGACAAGATCAAATAGCCAGAATCCAGTTTGAATATTTTGGATATATTGAGGTAAAAATTGTAGTTGGTTTTACCCGAGACCCTCACATTTTGAAGTGATTTACAGTATTGCATAGATATTTCCATGATGAGAAATGTTAAAGACAATCCACCCACATATGCAATGCGTGTGACTTGCCCTAGGGCTCCTGTGCATGGAAGGCTTGACAGATGAGAGTTATAGACATTTCTCTGATTGTAGCAGCACAAATAGAATCAGGGATACACTGCAAAGGCATATTAGATGTCTTTTATATAAAAAAGCTCTGAAATTATAGAAACAAGATTATGCACCACATTACAAAATGCAAAGCCATAAGTTTCCAATACAATCTGGGATTTATCACTTTGTAATGGGAAAGGAAGATGACGACCAGCATATATTCATTGATCGCAAGAGGACTGTGAGCTACCAGTGTAGAGCCGTTGTAGAAAAGGAAAATATGACCTTAGGTTTTATCAGCTGAGCTGTTTTCAAAAGAAATGTAGAAGCCATTGTGCCATGTACATGCAGCACAAGTGTAAGGAACTTTGGATATTCTGTCTGGAATACTCCATAACTCAGGGCACACAATACCAGAGATGGCAAATTCAGGAGCAAGTACAGAAACAGGCTAGTTGAATGCCTGGGGGAATGGAGAGCTCATTTTATGTTAAGAGCCACCCCCAAAGGCTTATAAAAATGAAGGTTGAGTGGACACGACTGCCCTGAGATGGAGCGAAGAGTTAAAACAGGGAAAGAAGAGAGCCATATAAGCTAAAGAGCTTGACCTGAACAAATCATTAATCATAAACAGAAGTATGTTTAAGCTATAAAACAAACCTTATGATAAAATGATAAAATGCTGGCTCTGAAATTTTGGAAATTCTGGAATGAAATTCTGCAGGAACCTCTCCCTCATAAAATGAACTAGCTGTAAGAATTAGAGTTGTATGAATAAAGAAATAGTTGATTCTCTGTGATAGTAAGGGCTTGGATTATTTGACATTGCAATTACCTCTGAATATGATCGCTGAATGTATATTGTTTCGCTTTATATTTTAAACTTTACCTGAGCCTGTATTCATAATCATTGGGTACTTTTGCTTACTACTCTTGTCACAAAATGAAAGACAAAGTAAACAGCCAGATTATTTTTTTTTCCTCTATACAGTTGGTGTTACCCCTTATGGCTATGCTTCCAGGTTTGAAATCAGATTTGTTGACAAGTTTGATGTAGCTTTTGGGAGAGAAGGTGAGACAATGAGTCTGGGCTGCACAGTTGTCATCAGTCCTGATATCAAACGCTTCAAACCAGACATCGAATGGTACAGAAACGGTGAGAATATTTGACAAGAAGAAATACAAACTTCTTTCATGTAAATCTTTACTTATTTTGGCATATGTGAACATCATGATTTGGTCATCACTTTCTCAGATTTCTAAACAATAATATTTTCTCTTTTTCAGTTAGAAGTGTTTCAAAATTTAGCATTTTGAAATGGAACCACAGTTAGAAAATAGACAAAGCACTGTGAAAATGCCTTCTAGGGATTTTTCCTGTCTTAAAAAATAATTTAAATTAGAAATATTTTGGTCGGCTCCAACATCTGTGTGGCCCATCTGTGTAGCCCACATAGCATTCACTATTTATTTATTGCTGAGACATTTCTTAAGTAGTTGCACAAATGTATTGTGCAACAGCTGATAAAAAAGATGTTGCTCTCTTAAGTTATACTTTGAAAACGAAGACAAAATTGGCATGAAAGCAGAATTAGCTGTAATTTATGATTGTCTTCGAAGACTGAAAGTTGCGTAAGAATGGACTCTTATGCATTTCCATCCTATCTATTCCCCATATTCAGAACCTGTTCCTCAGTAGATCCAACTAGTTCTCATCATGAAATTCTCTGATTTCTAGGTGTTCTTATTACACCATCCAAATGGGTCCAGATGCACTGGAGCGGTGAGCGAGCTTCATTAACACTGACTCATGCAAACAAGGAAGATGAAGGTCTTTACACTCTACGAGTGGTGATGGGAGACTACTATGAAGAGTACAGTAGTTATGTCTTTGTTCGAGGTAGGATATTGTCTTGTGAACAAAACTCACGAAAGAAATGAGGAAAATGTTGGCAAAATCAGTCTCACCCATTTTAGGTCCAATAAAAAGAGAATAACTATTTTCTATTAATAGATTCTAGCAATAAAAAGAGAATAATTATTTTCTATTAATAGATTCTAGCAATATAGCTTCCAGTTGTTATCTTTGGAAAAACTGAATGCATAGCTCAAGCTAGAAGACTTCTAAACCACACTGGGATTCTAAGGAGGAAATTTAGGGTATTGAATGTAACTTCACTACTCTTTCTCAATTTCAGCCTGTGAAGATCACTGAACACAAGTCGTAAAGAGAAAAAATCTATAGAATAACTTAAAAATTTATTTTTGTAACCATCTCACTGCTGCTAAACTGCACTGTTTTTATCAAGATTTTATGTGCCATTTGAGGGGTTCTCTCTAACGCACAATGCAGGAAAATATACAGTAGAAGAGAAACACAAAGGTCTACACCTGGGGAAGAATAACCTTATTTCCAGCGGGTTGAGGAGGTGATCCTTCCCCTCCACTCAGCACTAGTGAGACTTGTCTGGAGTGCTGGGTCCAGTCCTGGGCTCCCCAGTACAAGAGAGACATGGACTCGCTAAAGTGAGTCCAGCAAAGGGCTGTGAAGGTGATTAAGGGCTTGGAGCATCTCTCATATGAGGAAAGGTTGAAAGTGGTGGAGCTGTTCAGACTGGAGAAGAGAGGGCTTAGGGGGAGTTTATCCACATGTATAAATACCTGATCAAGTGGAGTAAAGACAACAGAGCCAGACTCTTTTCAGTGGTGCCCAGTGCCAGGACAAGAGGCAATGGACACAAACTAAAATATAGGAAATTTCATTTAAACATAAGAAAACACTTTTTTATGCAAAAGTGGTTGAACACTGGAACAGGTTACCTGGACAGGTTGTGGAGCGTCTCCATCCTTGGAGATTTCCAAAACCTGATTTGACACAGTCCTGGGCAACCAGCTCTAGCTGGCCTTGCTTTGAGCCGGGGGTTAGACTAGGTGATCTCTGAAGTTGTCTGCCAATCTCAACCTCTCTGTGATTTTCTAAAGTAAAGCAGCAAAGCATAGAATGAAAATGTAATTTCTCTGGGTGTTGTTTGCTTGTACCATGAAAAACCTCCTTGAATTTCTGTTAGAGGAATATTTCTTTAAAAGGAGCCACGGCTATCAGGTTGCTTGCTGATTCTATATCTGTCTCAGCTGCTGAAAGCAGCTGAAGCATGAAATGCTAATTCAAAAGGCTCTAGAAATTCTTGGCACTGAGGCTATGCCCAGAATGACACTGTGTTGCCAAGTCCAGCAGAGCTGCATGAGATAACAGCTTGCTCAGAAAATATGACTGAAGCAGTTGTTTTCATCACCTGAAGAAAGAGTCTACTGAAACAAGTATCCTACTAGCAATAGGGCTTGTCTTCCTTGCTTTGTTTTGAATTGGGCTGTCATACAAACAAATGATCACCCTTGTTCCTGTTACACCTTCTAGCAATGCAGGTATGACCTGACTGTGAACCCACCACCCCTTTCACCAGAGCATCTTACTAGCCAATCAGTGTTTGCCAAATTCTGATTAGATAAATTATATTCACATTCCTACTTAAGTGGTCCCCACAGTCTCAGCTGGCTTGTATATTCCTCACTGCTCCTCCTAAATTGTAGGCAAAAGTGCTATAAATGGCTAGCTGTGGCATTTAAGCACAAGCAGCTGTCTTTCTGTGCCATGTGTAGAAATCCCTGTGTATCAATGGAAGTGAGCAGTGCACTAATCAGGCTCGTAACATTATGTCTTTAGAGGGGCTTCGAGAGCACGTGTGGCTCTTCTGCCATGGCTACAGGTCAGCATTTGTCAGCAAGCCGTCAGGGATAAAATCCTAGCCTCCCTGAGGCTGATCAGTAGCGTCAGTTATCTCACCTATTTCCCAGTCTGTCTTGGAAAGAAACTGTGGTGTCTCATGTTAGTCAAGTGGTAAATATGGGCAATTAAAAACTTCTGTACAGAGATCACTGAAGACATATTGTTATCACTCTTAACATGTTTATTATCTCATTATGTTAACTGGATTGCTTACTCTGTACGTTACCACTTTTAAAAAGGCATCGAGTTAGCTGTAATTAGAACCTGGACTCGGTAACTTTGGCGCAGCTTCAAAAGTTCCATGTGATGCTACTCTGCCTATAAGAGAAGACACATCATAAATTGTGGGTGTTTTTTTTTCTGAAGACTACAGTTTTACTTAACAAAGCATGTTAAATACACTTACAAGGCTTTTTTTTCTGAAAACCGAAAGCATAAAAAATAGGGTTTACTGTACATTGTAATAAAAAATCCTTGTGCCTTGAAACATTGAACTTTTTAAGAAGTCTGGGGTTTAGATGGAATGTATGAATAATATTTATTAGCAAAATGTATTTTTCTTCAAGTATACACATCTTTCTTGTCTAAGTCAGGTCTTCTTTTGAAGTAGCGGGTTTGAAAAATTCTACATGTAGCTGTACAATTTTATGCTATTCTGCAGAGAAGCAACCTCTCTTCTTTGAAAGTCTTTCATACAATCTTCCTGCAAAGGTTATTTTTCTCTACATGAAAATTACGCCATCTCACAAATCAGGCTCTGACGGTGTAAACAGTAAAATTCCCCAGTGCCCAGCCTGTGCTCTGTTTTTTAAGGCATTAGATAAGATGTGTCCAGAAGCTGATGCTGGAGTCAAGGCCTTTCGACACCAGCAGTCGCAGATTCATGATTAACACTTGAAAGCAACAATATACTCATTTTTATGAAGGTTACATTCCACAATGATAATGCACGTGTAGTATAATTAAACTTCAAAAGTTTTTGATACCTTCGCAGTCCAGAGCCAACCAAAAAGAAACAATGAAGGACTGTGTGTGGAGTTAAGGTATTTAATTCAGTGTTGTACACCTAATGGGTGAATACTTTTGATTGAGCTATTGCCTGGCTGTAAGGCAAGATATCAGCCTCTTCTCCTAAGTAGAACAGCAGCTAAATATATAGTCTGCCAAGTTTTTAGTTCAGGTATGTCTCTAGCAGCTACCTAACCAGAATGCATATTACTAGTTTTATTTAAAATACCTAGGTGAATTACATATACAGGATGCTGTAACATATTAAGCATTTGTAAATGTGGCAAAGAGAAAACCAAAACCTAGAAAAACACTGGCAATATAAAAACAAATACTTTTTGAAGCCAGTAATGGAACTTCTTTTTTTGGCTCAATAGGAACAGAGTTCGGCCCTTAAAGATTGATAACTGTGAAAGAGCTGTGATTCACATTTGGAAATGTATATCTCCATCCTCACAGATGCTGATGCTGAAATCCCTGGAGCTCCTGGTGCACCACTGGATGTGCAGTGCTTAGATGCCAACAAAGATTATGTTATTGTCTCCTGGAAGCAGCCCGCTGTCGATGGAGGAAACCCCATCCTCGGCTATTTCATTGACAGGTCAGTAAGAACGATGGACTGGAGAATTTGTATTGCTGCTCATTCTAACTCAAAAGCCTAAAAGCACATTGAAAAGCATGAGATAAACTGGTCATTGTTATTTTCATCCTTGATACTGGCCAGAAGAAAATTACTTTTTTTATTTTAGATTGGCTGGGCCTGATCTGACTTTCATGGAAGTAGTTACGTCCGGCTTCATTTAACTACCTACAAAGGATTCTGCGAGTCACTGCATAGCTCAGCCCTCGCTGCTTCCCATAAGGCTTGAGAGGCCTCGGGGCTTTGCAGTTTGGTAGCTTACAAGATTGGCTCCTTCATCAGGCAGCTGTGGCTCCTTCTGTAACAGTGTTCTCCTGCCTTTTTCCAAATAGTTACCACGTACCAGAAAGCAAAATATTATCTCAAAGGGAGTTGGATTTCTTTTACATGCCATTGTTTTCCAAACTCTTAAATTCACAAACTACATGCAGATCATGCTTGTGTGTTTTTCTCTGCAACGAGAAGAATTGGAAATAATTTTTAAAAATATGAAAACTGAATGTGTCACACAGTGGCAGGGCTCCAGAACCTTGGGATTTAAGAAATTCAGTCACCATTTTGAGACGTGCAATGAAGTTTTCAGAGCTGGTAATATATTTTTGAATTTCAGTAACAGAATACATCATCAATAATCTGGAGTTCCTGTGGGCTTATTCAGATGCATGTAAAAAACTGCCAAATACTTTATACATATATAAAAATATATATATTAAAAAAGACTCGATATTATACCATTGTATATACATAAAGTATATATGTGTAAAAAGAGGGCATTGCTTAGTGAAACAAATCTAACATCAGTACATTCAATTCAAATGTAATTTAACTGGTGTGATAACTTAGGAGTGCCAGTTGCTGCTGTAACTACATAGTGCTAGGTCTAAGCCACAGCTCTTTAACATTAGTTGAAAAATTCAAAACAAAAGACCGGACTAGACCCTGAAAAATAATATCTCATTTTAAAACTAGGCTATGGAGGGATGCTAATGCTAACTGTAAGACAAATGGCATTTTGCTTTTTCTCTTGTGTTCAGTTCCTTTATTCTACATTTGCTTCTAAATTCAAAGCTGTGTTACTGCTCTCCAGTATTCGATCCCACTAAAGGCATTCAGGCACCCAAATATTCAGCCAGGGTAGCCCCTAAGTGCCTCACAGAGTGAGCCGGTCACTTGAGGCAGCAGGACTGGCCTGTGCTAACGCTATGGGCGAAGCTCAGGCATCCTTCACCCCAAGCAGAAACCAGAACCACAAAACCACCCGGACGGTGGAGACGGTAACAATTCCCAGAAAAGGGATGCTTGCATCTACCAGGAAATCTGAGCGGGCACTGTAACATTCAGTTCAGCAGATATCTCAGCAGCAATAAAAAGTCTTTCCCAAACTGTTAGTTCATGTTCCTGTTGATCGTCTTGCTGGATACTGGGATGCTGTTCCTGCAGATTCCTCCTGTCTCCCTGAGCTGAAGTCGCCGTGGTCCCTCCCTGCTGCTGGTTATCTCTCCCTTCTGCCAGAAAACAGCCTCCTGCCAGGCGCGAGGCTTCGCAGCAGTGGGACCAGCACTTGTCACGGACGGGTCTCGTCACAGCAGTGGCTGCGGCCACCGCACCGCAGGCTCCCTGGGCAGCCTGGGCAGTGTCTGAGGCAGGGTCCGGCTGGGTGCCTGACGTGAACCCCGGTCACAGCTCTCTGTGTGCTGGGCTGGTCACGGAACTCACAGCGGAGGTCTCCACATCCCATAAAGCCCATCATTTTGCAGGTTGTACAGTGGAGCACCGTGCACGAAAGCTGAACTAGTTGCCTTCTGGCAACTGCAAGAGAGACATGTATTTCATGTCCCTTCAAGTATGCTAAAGCAGATGCTCCCTAAGCAACCTGGAGCACACTTGGGAGGGTTTAAACAGTGAGGTGAGCTCTGCTGGTGTCCCTTCCTCAGTTCAGGAAAGATGGGGTGCAGCTGTGAGGGATTTACTGCATGCCCAGACGGTACTTCAGCCCTGACCCCTTGGGGCAGCTGCTCTGAGGTCACCAGTACATAACGCTGCTGAGGAAATCGGTGTGGACCACCCAATGAACGTGAACAAATGGTGGAGCTGTAAAGGGGGGTGGGTGCACCGAGTCTGCATTTTTCCCTTCCCAGAAATTGTCTTGCTGTTTGTATTTTTCAGGTGTGAGGTTGGCACCAGCCACTGGACTCAGTGCAACGAGACTCCCGTGAAGTTTGCTCGTTTTCCTGTCACTGGTCTGATTGAAGGCCGTTCCTATATTTTCCGAGTCCGAGCGGTGAACAAAGCTGGCATTAGCCTACCGTCCCGGGTGTCAGAGCCTGTAGCTGCTCTGGATCCTGCTGACAGAGCCAGGCTTAGAAGTAAGATGTGCTTTTTGCAGGTTGCCTGAGAGGTTCAAGAAGTCACAACTCATAAAAAAAAGTATGACTATCTACTCATAAGTCTTCGAAATCCCACTAGAGGGAGCAATGCAAAAACAAAATATTCTTTGGAGAGAGCTTTGCCAAGAAGAAATCATCTCAGTGCTCTTTGCACACAGTGCTCTGTCTGCTCAAATGGCTTTGGCTGGCTGTGGTGCTATGCTTTGAACTTGCAGGAAGGGAGGAAAAGGCACAGGAAAGCTAATTGCCTGAAGAGACTTGCTTTTGTTCAGCCAACAAAAAAGCTGAACAGATCCTGTGAATTGTCTCTCTCTGTGGCACAGGCAAGGGTGGCTGATTCTGTGCTCATGTGACAATCAAAGTCTTGCAGTAGCATCAGCACTATACCAGGGTAGCTCAACAGGCAATCAATCCTAAGCTCTCTGCCTTAATGATAACATTTTACAAGTCACGGATATTTGTCCTGTGGCCTGGCAATGTCCCAGACATTTTCCTTCCAAATCCAACTCTCTACTCATACGCCAAAATCATATGCCTAAAATCCAATTATTTCTACTTGCTTCTGAAGTTTTACTATTTAAAATGGTCCAATGTGAAGGGCTTTTGTATGCAAAGCTACAGGGCTCTCACAGTCCCAGCTTGGATGTCTTACTGTAGATAATGCTGCAAGCTACAGACTGCAGTCAGATGATCAAGGTTCCCATTCAAAATAGAAACAAAAGGCCAGAGGAAGGAGGTTTGCCACTGCCAGGAAACACTGTGTTCAGACAGACGTGTGAAACTCAAAGTCTGGGGTAGGCCTCTTCTCAATGGCAAGTATGGAAGCTGTCTCAGGAGATGAAGTGTCATCTTGGTGGCCTATTCCTGTTAGATCTCCTCCTCTCATTCCCTCATGATCCTCTTTTCTCCCCACCTGCTCCCTCTCCGCTCACGTTTCCAAAACAGATCAGCCAACATAGGTGAAGCACATGGAGGTGGAGAACAGCATTAGCAAAATTTATCTCTGAAAAGTGCATTGGCCTGGTTAATAGCCGAACACGTAACTGCAATAAGATCATAATGTAGAGGCACTGAGAGAGCCACGCAAACTGTATCATATGTTGAGTCAGGCTGAGCCATTTCTGTTTGTGATTGCGACCCATGATTTGAAAGCTGGTAATGCGAGGGAAAGTGGTTGAAAAGAGACAAAGATCAGCCTGCAGGAATTTGGCTGTTCCATGAATGAGTGAGCTGTTAAACCAAAGGAATAGAGTACAGAAAATAAAGTTGATGTTAATTCTTTGAAAACGATGAGCTGAGTGAGCCAAATACCTCTGCTTGTCACCTAGGTGACTTCAGTGACATTTTGGGAAGAAATAGATGTTTCAGTGGGCTAAATTTTCTAGCTGTATTGATTGCTGAGCTGCTTTCAATGTTCAAGCCAGTCAGCCTGCAACTAGCTTGGGTAACTAGCTTGCTACCTGAGCAACAGTCACAGCAGTGACCAAAAATGGAGCTCACGTGAATCTTGCCATTGTTAGTTTTGAACCATGAAAGAGCTGGATTTCTTGTTATTGTAAAAGTCCCTGAAGTCTCCCATGTCTGTAATACCTCTGACATCTCTTTCAGGTCACCCTTCTGCTCCCTGGACTGGACAGATTATTGTCACTGAGGAAGAACCTGCAGGTAAACGCAGCCCTTTTGCCCACAAAAGTCTAATGTGAAGCTGGCTGAGTAATTAGAAAAACTCCCAATGAGTTCAGTGGACTTTGGCACACACCCAAAGTTCATTGTTCTGAGAGTCACGCGACCCTGAATAACTCCCAACGTGGTTGTTGAGGTGAGGTTTCGTTATTCAGGGCCTAACAAATAAGCATGCTTAGAGTTAAAAGAAGGACATTTAAAACCAATATTTAGAAGACTTGTAACTCTACATTTTAAAAAATGTTAGGTGCCAAGGTATATCAATACTTGTCTATACTTTAATTACAACACTTATTCTGATGCAAATATGAAGGATTTAAATCCCAATTCTCTTTCCTATTCTTCTCCCCTGTTCTTCAGAGGGTGTTGTTCCTGGTCCACCTACAGACCTCCAAGTTACTGAAGCCACTAAGAACTATGTTGTTCTTAGCTGGAAGCCTCCTGGACAGCGGGGCCATGAGGGTATCATGTACTTTGTGGAAAAGGTGAAATTGAACAAAATCTTAACCATGTTGTGGTATACTTCATCAAGATAGCAGTTACTGTAGATTAAGATAAACTAGGAAGAAAAGAAAGATGGGAAATAGGAAAGCAAATGCAGGATGTGTCACACACTGTAATGTACTTCTATGAACCATGTCACTGACATACCCTGGAGTAGGCAGGCTGACAAACTCCCTCTATAATGAGAAAAGACAGAGCAAAGTTTTTATATATAGTTTTTATATATAGTTTTTATATATATTATATATTTTTTTAAAATATATAAATATATATATACATATAAAATGAAATTTGGATAAATGAAGCTTGTCTGGTGGGACAGATTGTTAACATTTTGGATGGAGGCATTCTGCAAGAGTTTCTTGGCATCAGCACTTTCTCCTCTAGCTGCCTTTTCATGTTTATCCTCTACATTAACTTTCCATTCGCTTCACTAACTCAACAAAGATGGCAAAACTTCTTTTCTAGAACAGAATGTTTTAATTTCAGTGTCCTGCTTTTCTGAGATGTTTTTTGCATGGCTGCTAGCCTAGAAAATTCTTCACGCCATCACCCGTTTTGCTTGTATCTCATCGCTCACAAACTTCTTTATCAATGCTTTTCCCTGCCAGTCTAGAGGTGTCACCATGGGAGACATAAATATCTTCCTATTATGTGTTTTTCATCTCTGAAATCTGGTATAAATAAATGAGTTTCACTTAGCAACAGACTTAGAGAGGATGAATACATGAATTTTGAATTTCCATGTAAGAAAGCTTTTCAATACACTGTTGCATGCTGATTGCTGAGCACTAATGTCACATAGTCAGGGAATGCCTTCCTGAAAATTTGAAATCTCTCAGAGACCAAGACCCATTACTTGAAATTATCCTTAATGTAAATCACAGGTAAAAACTAATCACTAATATTAACAGTATAAGTGATCATGATACATAGAGCTTCTAGCCCCAGAAATAAAAACAATTCACAGATTAATTCCACGTTATTTTTTTTCTGAAAAATGAAGGTCAGATCGTGATTAATTCTGGAATTAATATAAAATATTAATTAACGCATCTAGAAGCAATGTGGTAATATTGAAGTTTCATTCTTTCAAACATGTTCAACACTTCCCTGGCAGTGTCCAAGGCCAGGTTGGATGGGGCTTTGAGCAACCTGGTCGAGTGGAAGGTGTCCCTGCCCATGGCAGGGGGGTTGGAACTGGATGATCTGTAAGGTCCCTTCCAACACAAACCATTCCATGATTCTATGATTCTGTGATTCTATGTTGAATGTCTGCAGAACTTATTTTGAAAGTGGTCCAGAACTGGATGTAGTTGTTAATAACATGACTTCCTTGCCGTGGAGAGGAGTTAGCTTTGATATATTAAAACCAGTAAGCTTTCACGTATGTTTGCTGGACTAGGTGGACACCTGGCAGATTCATAAGCTTTGAAATATGCTCATTCTGTGGAAAGACCCAAAAAAGGAATGTGACTCCCTGTTCTCCACAGCAGACATGCATTTTGTGGTCCAGGTAGAAAGTTTTGTTGAGTTAGACACTGAGCTTTCAGACACTTTCGTTCCAAATGCAGTTTCTGGGTTTGACTGCAGTGCGTTGCTGGCACAGAGGACTGGCAAAGGGTGAACACTGAGATTCCTGTGAAGTCTCCTCGCTTTGCAGTTTTTGATTTGGCTGAAGGCAAATCCTACTGCTTCCGAGTTCGCTGTTGCAATTCAGCTGGAATTGGTGAGCCTTCAGAAGCAACTGAAGCCACTGTGGTGGGTGACAAACTCGGTAAGTTTGTGGTCATGTGTACTGAATTACCTGCATGGTATCTTTTCAGTTTATGATGTAATTGTTTTGTCTGAAGACAGATAGCTGCCCAGTAAATAATTCATGTACGAAGAGTAGTTCATGATTTATTCCCTTTGGCTAGCTGAAATAATTTTGCTTTGGACTGTTGAACCTTTAATGTACAGTCAAATGACAGATGCAAATCAAGGGAATTAAGCTTCAAATAGTGATGCCAAGAACTTCAAAGGCTGCAAATAGTGAAAGAAAATGAAAACTCAAGGAAGCGCAAAAATGTTTTGCTTTACTTAGATTCTTTATTTAAAATAAGCCCAGACAACAGCAGAGTTTAACCTTCCTTGTTTGCCAAATTAAACAAAAGTGAAGAATTTAATACTTCCATAAATGCGGAGACTGTTTCCACTGGAAGACAAACCAAGATGTTCACCACAGTAAAGCTTCAGTAGCTATGTCTACATTAGCAATTTGTTTCCAAACAGCAATGCAGATTTGAATCCGGTTCCCAGACTGTCTCTGTTTACTTCATATTGGTTGGATTCTCAGAGCAGTTTGATGCACGTGAACTACATTATTTTAGGAGAAGACTAAAACAGCTCTTCTTGAAAAACACTTTAGATGCCTTTTGCTGTTTAACAGGGGCATTTGTTTCTGACTTCTTCTGTAGGCTGCACAAAATCCTTCAGTGTGCATCTAACACGTTTTGCCTTTTAGAAAGCTCCAAATTACATCTCTAATGTAGATGTTCAGCGCAAGGGAATAAACTAAATCTAATTAGAAGGAAATACCTATAACCATAGGCAATGGAGACATGAGGAACCTCACCACCAAAGGCTTGAACCTACTGATCCTTTCCTGTTGCACCAGGTTACTTGACTGAAATCAGAGGAATGTGAGGATGTTAAATCTGTATCAGTTGTGCTAATATAATCAAGAATAGAATGTCACTCTTTTTTTATTCAGAAATGTTGACTGGCTGGTCACTAGCTTATTTATGTTTCTCTCTCACAGATATTCCCAAAGCTCCTGGCCGTGTTATGCCAACTAGGAATACAGACACCTCAGTTGTTGTCACTTGGACAGAACCCCCAGATGCCAAGGAGCTGGTTGGGTACTACATTGAATCAAGTGTAGTTGGATCTGGTCGTTGGGAACCATGCAACAACAATCCAGTGAAAGGCACAAGGTAATGGATTTTAAAGAATGGAAATTACGGTCACCAGTTTTTGATTTACTGGGTATATGTGCTTTCCAGCCGTTAGCAGTAGTAGAGTCAATCACTCTGAGGTGGCCAGCAGGCTGGAATCACTCTTGAAGGTTAAGTTCATCAGAAGTTACAAAAACTTATTTAAAAATGCAGTTCTTGCCCAAAAGGAATTTATAATCAGATTTATATTAGAAAAAATTAGTCAAAGAGGAGGAAACGTAGATATTGCTAGTGAAGAAAAGAGAAGCAGCTTGCTAGTTTTAGCTACTGTACAACCTATTAGTGTGATGAAAAACAGTACAGAGAGGAATGACTGAAGTTACAAATGTGGAAAACTAAACTGCATAATGTTTGGAAGCAAAGTCCTTTGTTTTAGAACACTGCTGTAAACATTTCTGGACTGTATATCTAGAATGTCAGGAGGAAATGTGGAGTATATCATGCTAACAATATTACTTTCTAACTGCTCTTTCACTTGCAATTATCAAGATATGAATACAGACTCTTAAATATAGGTTACAAGCTCACATTCCTTACCAACAGGAAGCTCAATCTCTAGTCAGAAAAAACAATCAAGATTTAAAACTTTGCAAGCTAAATCAGATTTGGTTTTGTTTGAATAAGGATGTAATCTTCAGAGTCTAAAGGGATAATTGCAGAACATGATCTCAAATGGATTGATGTCAATCCAGAAGCAGTCCATGCTTGTTATGACTGATTATGCTTATTTGTAATTGCTATCCATGACAACCAGACTCTTTTCAGTGGTGCCCAGCGACAGGACAAGGGGCAATGGGCACAAACTGAGGCACAGGAAGTTCCGTCTGAACATGAGGAAGAACTTCTTCCCTCTGAGGGTGACGGAGCACTGGAACAGGCTGCCCAGGGAGGTTGTGGAGTCTCCTTCTCTGGAGATATTCAAGACCCGCCTGGACAAGGTCCTGTGCAGCCTGCTGTAGGTGACCCTGCTTCGGCAGGGGGGTTGGACTAGGTGACCCACAGAGGTCCCTTCCAACCCCTACCATTCTGTGATTCTGTGATTCTGTGAACCCTTATTACAGTAAGTAAGGCTCTGCTAAATACTCTTGGACCAACTTTATTGTTTAGAAAGGCATTGTAAATGCTTAGTATATCAAAAGTACCTAAAACCCCACTTGCTTGAACACAAGCACAACAATTTCCTTTAAGTATTCTTTTGTGCATTTTTATTGCAACAGCTGTATGTGCCAATATTATATACTTTCACATATACTTCTATGATTTATATTGTGGTTACATCAAGTGTTGGTGAAGTTTCATGCTGTTTGCTTATTCTACAATATGAAACCTGGTCTTTATTCACCACAGAAATAAAATTATTGTTCTGAGTTACTATGTATTTTGATGTAACTACAGGGCTTAGGTTCCTATCACTGCATTTTTAGTTAATGTGATATAATATATGATGCAGTCAGACACAGGCTGTCTGTTAACTCTTGGTTTATCTGGTTGTGTCAATCTCAAAAGCATTAGCTGTAGTTTATAGCGTGCGTTATGCAGTATATTTTAACCTTTTGAAATTTATTTTCTGCGCGCATCCTAGTGAAAGCAAATGATTTTGAAATGTCTGGTAGAATGGGTAGGGCAAATTATGCTCTGAAAATTTTGATTCGAGTTTTATCTCTTTCCTCAAAATAAAATTTTGGTTTTGAAAAACATTTTGTTTCCCACATTATATTCGCTTTGTACGTCATTGCGTAACGTCACAGTTGGTAGTGCGAGACATGACGTATGAAGTAGAACTAAATAATAGTAACATGAAATAAAGTACACTTAAAATGATTATTGAAAATAAATCTTTTTTAAAAGAAAATATTTACATTTTGAAAAAACTATTTCTCCAAAATAAATTATTCCTGTATTGGGAAATGTTTTGCTTTCAGGATGGACACCAGAAAAAACTTATGAGGATTTTTTTATGTGACCATTAGGCAATCCTGTAGAAAAACTATTCTAATAAAAAAGTTTGTCTAACTTAGGTTATTGTGTCATACACACAAGCAAGAAAGTGAAATAAAAAATGGGACACTTTTTTTTTTAGCTCTTGTACAATGCCCTGTAATTTTTTTGAACACAGCAATTTTTCATTTATGATGGGAAGTTGTGCTACCAGTGTCTTCTACTTATGTCATGAAGATATCCCACAAGCAAATATAGACCTTATCTCTGCAGATTTCTGCATTGTTTCTGTTAGGAAGTATGGATTTTATATACTAGCGGAAGTAAGGTAGACCCTCTGGTAACACAAAAACTTAGTCTTATTTTTTTAAAGAGTGTTGGTAAACGGTGCATCTAAAGAGACATGGTTTTAGACATTATCTTCATTGTGTGAGCGAGGTGTTTAGATACAATCTGCATTCTCTGAGCTTCGTTTAAGTGACTGGGGTCATGGTTTATCCTCAGATTTCAGAAATCAGAATAAATTTTATGGAAGAAATGCTTTCTTTTCCCCCTTAAGATTTTTATTTACTTCATAATACTTTCTAAGTACTCCTTTACTGGTTTGTTGTAGATTCATTTGCCATGGGCTTGTAAATGGTGAGAAGTACATTTTCAGAGTCAGAGCTGTTAATGCAGCGGGACTCAGTGAATTTTCACAGGACTCGGAGCCTATAGAAGTCCAAGCAGCCATTGGTAAGCTATTTTCCGTTGCTCTTTTCAGTGGTAAATATGGATTTTTTTAATTAAGTAAAGATGTTTTCAGCAACTATTTGTAACTAATTGTTTTGTTTTACAATCCTGTCCACAAATAATAATTTGTCCATAGATTCTATGGTCTCATAGCCATAGTTTCACAGTCACTGACTCTCGTAGACTGTTCACCTTCACCATCCAGTCTTCTTCAGGTGTTTCTTGTGAAGCACTGTGAAAGAGCACTGCCAAGTTCACTTCATAGGTATCTTGGAAAATGGAATATCATTCTGATTGCGTAATGTGGTATTTATCACCTCTAACACACACCATCCTATATAGTAATTTCCTAAGAAATTTGTTTCCATACTTAAACCTAGTAATCAGTGCAATGCGTTTTTTGTAAACCTTCTATAACCCTGTGTGTTCTTCCTTTGCCGATGAATTACTTCTCTTTGCCACTGCCTGAACTAATCCATAAAGATTAATGAGATCATTGGGCTAGAATAAATTGTATGTCTGCAACATCCTCACTCTCGTTTGTGTCAAGCCTGCATACCTCACAACCTTAGAGCAGAGAGATGTTGCCTATGGCAATTTTGTGAGATCATTTTGTAAGGATCAGAAGTATGACTTGGAAGATCTCATACTAAAAGAATTGTAGCAAATGAAGATTAATATTAACTTCCCATATTACTTCTGCTCTGAAAAGTAGACATTATTAAAAAAGCATTAGTTGTGAGCAGGTTGAGAGGTATTCTATGCATTTCAAATTTTTGTGAATCCAAGCTTAACATTTTGTGCCTAAAACCTGTGATTTGTCATACTTTGGCTGTATTGTTCACAGTATGCATTTCTTCATTCTGTTGACTAAATGAAGAAAAAAGAATGTATTGTAATTCAAAATGTCTTTGCTGTTTTCTGGCAATTATAGGGGGAGGATTGCTTCACGGTGTGTGTCCTGAACTGAGTGGTAAAGCTGGTGGACTAACAGACCGCACTGCCAGCTGGGAAGGCATGCATGAGTCCTCCCAGCCTATCTTTGACACAGATGCTTTGCTAAAATGCAATGCTAAATTTAATAGAGACACACTACCCAGTAGCTCTGACAAACTGGGGAGTACAGGAGACAGTAACACAAGAGAAATGGTTAAGGACGCTACCACATCTACACCACAAAAAGTTGCTGCTAAGCAGGCAAGTAAGTCTCGACCCGGGGATCTTTTGACACTGGAAAAGGTGACAAAGAAGAAAGATATAGGTGAGAGTTAATAAATAGATTTCACCGCTTTGGTACATCCATAGACTCGGCCATGCCATAAATAAATGTGCTCCCCAGTGATGCATCTTCCATCAGAGACGTTAATTACGTGCTCAACTCTCTGTTAAGATCTTTATGCACGTAATGGTATTGGAGACCCCTTTACAAACTTAATGGCTACTGAAAGCAAAACATATAATCCATTTACTAATTTAATAGCTTGTTTGACTACATGTTAATGAATCCAAGATACCGTATTATTCCTAAATCACTTCAGTAATTTCTTATAAGTCTTGTTTCCTAGTCTCTGAGTTACGTACATGTGAAGGAAACAAAATCTGATTATAATGGTAAGCATGAAAATCTGTGTTGTGTTAGGATATATGAAGATCCTTTGTGGATTTATGCCTAAGCTACAGTTTATCCTCTGAGACAAGAATGTTGTGTTGTATGTCTGACTGACAGCAATAGGTAATGAGGAAAACCTATCAAGTTGAAGGCACATGCAGAAAATCATGTTTTATCTTGCCAGAACCAAAGTACACATCATGCCTGAGAAATGTGGGGCCTGAATTTCATTTAAGTCCTGGTACCTGGCCAGTGAACTGAATTCCTCCCCAGCCCTCTGAAGTGAGACTTCAAAAGGCTTGTGCAAAGCACTGAACAGAAAATAAACTAGAGGCACCTGGGGCTGGCTGACACTGAGATAAAACATGAAAGAAAAAAGGAAATGTATACGATGTAGGATTTCCATCAAAAGTAGGACTTCAGGGTCACAAGTAGAGCTCTTCACTGGTACATGAAATATTGGGTGTGGGCAAGCATTTCCCCACTAGATATAGAAAAGGCGTTAGAAGAAAATTGGTTGGGATGAAGTTAATGACTTCTGTATTGTTAAAAGAAAATTAAAAATAGAGGATTATGCAGCAAGTTTTTTAACACAAGTTCCAGTAACAGACATGTTCCATTGCTGGTCAGTCTACAGTGCTTATGATAATGCTTCCTTCCATTAAGGTAAGATCATGTGATGGGTGCAATGATAAAATTTGCACAGTGTGTAAATTTAAAAGAAAAAGAAACAAAAGAATGAACAGATAAACTGCATTCTGGGAAGGGAAGAATGTGGATCCAATTAAAAAAAGGAACTACAATGAATACTGTATGTGTGAAAAAGAGTTTGCTTTCAGCAAAAGAAAACAAATCATTGCATCTACAATTTTTTTTACTTTTCCTGTGATGTTAGTTTTGGTTCCTTATTTTTCACGGTTTTAGAGTGAGTCCTGATCACTTACATCAGAGCTGCAATTGCAACACAGTCTTTCACTACGTATCAGCTTGCTTCTCAAAAAACAAATGATCCTGAAAATTAATTCCTATGCAGTTTGGACTTTTTCATCTGGCTTATTGAAGCTTTTATCCTGCATTTCCTATTCCAACTCCAGAAGCTTCCTTTGACCACATAAATGTTGTCATAAATAGGAAATGCAGGATGGGAGCCACCTGAATACGTTAATTGAGTGCCAGTCTGACTATTGAAATATTACTTCCTACTCATGTATGGTTCACATTGAAACAGCTGCTCCATCTCCACCTTATGACATCATGGTACTTGAGAGTGTTCGTGACTCGATGGTATTAGGATGGAAGCAACCGAAAGTCACTGGTGGAACTGAAATTACCGGCTACTACGTGAACTATCGTGAAGTGGTTGACGGAGTTCCTGGGAAATGGATGGAGGCCAACATTAAGGCCATCAGCGAGAGGGCATACAGGGTAAGAGGTTAACATCTGTTATTGCTGTAGGTGCTGACAAAATTTCCAAAGCAGATCTCAAAGACAGATTGGGATGAATTATGATTCAGTGTATGGACTGCTGTTCAGAGGGTTCTATATCCATGATGATAAACTTATTTAGCTCTGGTAAATTTCTCTGCAAAATTATTTGTACACTTACCTGTTAGTCTGGCACCAACTGTCATCTGTGAATGCACTGCCCTAGTCACAGCCTGAATTTTTGTAAGTCAGGCCTTCACAACAAATGGCATTCCTATGCGGCTTGGTGGACCTACCCCAGTGCTTGCTGGTGCTGGAACCAGCTCTGTGCCAGCTATGTTTTGTGAGCAGCTCTCGACCCAGTTTAGAGATAGTGCTAGCTACAACCTTGCTGAGCTACTTTACAAATGAAAAGCGATGCCAGGACTGAGTTTCATCCCACTGTGAGGACAACTCTTGCCTTAAGTGAACTTTCTCTGTATCACGAGACAGATTAGTATGATTGTTGAGCAATACCCTGCTCCTTCCATGACTACTAAAGTGTCTATCAATAGGAAAAGGGGTTTACAATTTGAGCATGCTAAGACAACTCATGTATGCTCCACCACTGATTAGAGGAAAAGCCAAGATATTTATTGCCTTATGTATGATGGCAATTATGCTTTCATGTCTTCAGCCATTTAAAAGCATGCTCATGCATTCAATAATTGTCATTGTGACTTTCTTCTAAAGCCTTAACCCAAAGTTGATAAGTTCCATCTTACTGATTCTGCAGATTCAAAACCTGAAGGAAAACATGGTGTACCAGTTCCAGGTGGCTGCTGCTAACCTGGCTGGGGTTGGGACACCCTCCCTGCCCAGCCAACCCTTCAAATGTGAAGAATGGACCATTGCTGTACCTGGTAGGATCCTGAGTGGGAGCTGTAGGTTACTCACAGACCAGGGGTGCTCGGTGACCCATTATCTAAGTTCTCAATGCCTTCAGTTTCCAGGGGAGTCAACCGGCACGGAAGTTCATACCCAGGCTTGAATCCCCATCACTTTGATTTAGTATATTTACAATGATGCATTAAACAATCCCTTTTTAATCAGTAGCATTTTACAAGCAGCTTGTATTTTCTTTATGTTTCCTGCTTGGTTCCTGTACTGTGTCTGCCACTTTGCTTCCTAGTTTAAATGGTAGACATAAATACCGGTCTAAGGTACAAGGCAGAGAAGAATGAGTTCCTGTAACCCTTGTCTAAATGTATCAATTCCAGGCCAGATTGCTGGCCTTTTAATACTTGTTGAAATGAATGAGAACAACCTCCGTTGGCTTCAGTGGACTTTAGAGCAGTCTTTGAAGCAGCACATTGGCTTAATAATTAACTTATTTCCCTGAATTTGGAGATTATTTGTCGTTTTTGTTTGTTCATGAATATTTGATCAAGATACCAAATCTCAACAATTTGGATTGGGTTTTGGGCTAGTCTTTTTAATAGGCATAGGTTGTATTTATATTGCACGTGTTATGTCAGCTCTGAATGTAACAACATGGTGTCTAGTTTTGGTCTTGTGTATTAGCCTTTTTGGGATTTATTTTGATACCACAACTCAAACTTTTACTCTCATCTTTCAGGGCCACCCCATGATGTCACATGCACTGAAGTTAGGAAGGACTCTTTGGTTTTACTGTGGAAGGAACCAGTTTATACTGGTCGTAGTCCCATAGCTGGCTATTATGTTGATATGAAAGAAACTGAAGCAAAGGAGGAACGTTGGAGAAGTGTCAATGAGAAGCCACTTCAAAAGAAATTCTTGAAGGTAAATAGCTTAAGATTCAAATACTGGTATAACAGTATAATCTTGAGGAAGTCAGCCTTCAATAGCATCATCCTGAGCTGATCATGGTTCCGCTTAATGAAATACATAGTAGTTTATGTTGTGCTAAGGATACACACGTGTAATGCCTGTATAGTCAGACAAGACAGTAATTCAGAAGGCAACATAGCATGACAAGCCTAAAAATAAAAGAAAGCACTGCTAAAAGCAAATACTATTCTTAGAATGCAGAGGGCAACCCTAGCATTTTCTGGCTCAAAGAACAAAATAAGTATCACACAGATGGCACAAAAATAGATGTGATAATGTGGCAGGTGATTCTTTCTAATACAAAGTACCCTCTCCTCCCATTTCATGCAAGTTAAACTCAAGCTTTTTGTACTTATTTAGAAGTAAATAAGGGACTAAATAAATAATTTATTTCTAAATAAGGGACCAGCTGTATCTCTGTTCTAAAGATACATCTTAGGTAGGTTTGCCATTTGTATGCTTTTCAGAATATTTGAAAGACAACTCACTTTTAAGTCTGATCCTTTCATATATGTTTTCAAGGACTATTTGCAGGTGTTATGATGTCAGTATGATTCTTCAAGTCACTGCAATTAAGTCTGTACAATTAAATGCCCTCTTGTTTCTAAATAGGTGTGGCTGGCACTTATTACCCTGATAATTTCGTTTTTAAAAGACAGAATTTACCTGCTGTTTCAGACTATGCTGTTTCAGAGGTCAATGTACATGAGTTAAAAACATCCTGTTCCAATAACAATGCTCCTTTCACAAAGCAATCAATGACAGTAATGACACTATCTAAATGTTATCTGTGCGTACAAGGAAGGAGCAAGTCAAACATTAGTAATGTCACTCTGGAATTGAAAAAAAAACACATGAGGAAGAAATATTTGTCAGCTGGAAAAGAAGCAAAACAAAAAGAAAGGAAATATAATTGTCAAGCATCCAGACTGGAATTGTAAGAAGTGTAAAATTAAAATCAGTGTTTAAATCACATCTTGCACGTATGTGCATTTTCTTCCTCCAGATAGGTGGCCTAAAAGAAGGTGTGAGCTATGTGTTTCGCGTGCGGGCCACAAACCAGGCTGGTGTTGGGAAACCATCAGAAGTCACGGATCCTGTTGTAGCTGAAACACGACCAGGTTTGTTAGAAATACTTCCCCTTTTTCATCATATTTAAACAGGTTCCTGTGCGATGTGTTTACATACAGGCTGCATGTGAACAGTCTGACACCTCTCGAGTCAAACTTTTTTACCAAGCAGGAGATGAGTTGAGGGTCATATCTTACTTTCTTTTTTTATTTTAAGGTCAGACTAGATTTTCTTACCGTAACTGCAGGTTCAGGAATATAAAAATACAATAAAGTTGTAAGATTTGCATATATCTATACATAAATGCATAAGCAGAGGACCTACTAAGATCAGCTCAACCAAAACATTCTCCAGATGTGGAATTTGGCCTTCCTGTAGTAAACCAGTTGTTCATGTTCTATCTCTGTCCTTTCTTTAACTTTTGTAATGTACCTGAGGAGAGAGTAAAAGAAATAACTTTTTTCCTTTGGGTGCTGGGGTCATCCTTGAAGGCTGGCTCTAGTGTGTCCATAATGCCAGCAAGAAACATGGCAACTAGTGCAGAGGCAGAATCTCCATACCTGGAACATCATAAAACCCCTGAGTTTTATTTAGCTATACAGGTAACATAGGCGACTTTGATCGGAGTCAACACCTTTTTTGTCACTAAGTCCCTAACAGAAAACACAAGCAAGGGCTTGTGACTTACTCATCTACAGACTGTTTCAGAAGCGAAGGGTCCTACAAGGTAGAAAAACAAACTCCCAGATATTTTGACCGAATCTAGTATAAAGTCAGTATGACGTAACAGGGTACCAGGGTACAAACCAGCCTGGATCCACCATACATTCCCTTTTCCTCTGGCAAGTTCCCTTCCTCCAACTGCAGACTCTCCTATCTGATCCCACCTGGAAAGGTTTCTAAGCGCCCTACAAGAGCCGGAACGCAGGCAGGAGCGGGCAGGCAGGGCAGCGTGGGGGCCTGGGGCAGCACGGGCAGCAGTGTAGGGGCACAGGCGAAGGAGGTGGCTGCCTGGGCAAACAGCCGCCTACCCTGCCTGCACAATCAGGCTGATCTCTGCTCCTGCCTGGAGAAATTGGCGGGGTTTATCCGGGATAGTATTGACTGTGAGGTGCTGAGCAGACATCACCGACAATCATCAGTTCCCATTCCCACCCCGGCTGCCTCAGGAGCATTTCCCCGGGATATTTTCCCTGTTTCTGACTCCCAGGTCCATTTTTACATCTCCTATTCCTGCAGCAGAACTGGCCCAGCTCCCATAAATGCCTGGTCCTTATGACCAGGGCAGAAAAAATCCTAAGAAGCCTCGAGTTAGCTCTCAGTGAGGCTGTAAGTCAAGAAGGTCTGAAAAAGGAGGTCTGAAGCTGGGTGTGTAAAAGAACTGGAAAAGTCAGAGTGGGGAGACTGGGGCGACTGCGAGTGAGGCTGGGATGGGGAAAAGGGACGGGAAGGAGTAGATGGTACATCGAGAAGATGGAAGATTGGGATATGAGGACAAAAAAGGGTGTGTCAGTAAGAAGGGCTTGGGACAGGATCTTTCCAAAATATAGTAGCCATAACTTCAGATCTACAAGCCGCTGAAGCACTAGCACTAAATCCATCACCTGGAAGTGGAGTAAGGCAAGACTTTGCAACTTATTCTTGAAAACAGCTTAGATACAGCAACCACTTCTAAAAAGAGAATCAAACCAGTAGTAGTACTAAACTTTTGGCTTTACTAATCCATTTTCCTTGAGGGTTAATTATCTATCTGTAAAATTTTTGATAAAAACTTGTTATGATAACAATCTTCAAGTGTACTAAATAAAGGATTGGTCATGTAATTAAAAATAAAAAAAACCCACCCAAACTTAAATTCTTGTGAAGATGATCATCATGACAAAAAAATAATTTGTACAGCATTTTCAGTGTTCATTCAAATGAGGCGCTTGCCCACCTGGCAATATGACCTTGAGCAGAACATTTGGTTTACAGACCTCACCATTAGAGAAGAAGGTACATCTCAGGATCACGGCCTTTTTGCAAGTGAGACTTGGGTTCATAGGTGGTGTGATGTCTGAGGGATCACAGGAAAGTCAGTGTTTGGCCCAGTGAGATCTCAAGGAAGCTGAAAATACTTACTTGGCCAAATCTGGTTGACCCATATTTTGAGCTGAGATTGGCAGATATGGCATCCACCAAACTAAGCTTCTTAAAAGTATTAAGAAAGGACAAAAGGCTTATTAAAAAATATATTTCAGTGTGCAGTCTCTTGGGCAGGCTTCCACCTTTCTCACTCAAACCACACAGATCTCAAGAACAATTGTACCATTTTTTAAAAATTACCACAAGTCTTTTGGTGTTGTCCAGTGAATGCTGCTTTTATTACCATCTTGGACAGAGACAAAACATTGTCATGTCTCTCTAGACAATTCCTG